GGAGGACCAATAGTCTTGATGATCCACCCGGTGGTAGAACATCTTCCTAAATACCTTCAATATTTGGTCCAGTTTTAGTTCAGTCCATAGTAACTGAACTCATCTTAATTAGAAAAGAATATCCAATCCAAATAATGTGAAACAAGTTCATATTATAAAAAAGTATAATAAATTAAACCCACTTATTCTTTCGGCCCCTGACCAGCCCTTTAATTTTTCATTTGGCCCCTGACCAAAATAAGTTTGACACCCCTGCTCTATGAAATGGTTTTTTTGGGGGGTTTTTGCCCTGGAAAAGCAGAGGTTTGATACAAAGATAGAAAATACAATATTATGCTACTTTGATTAAATTAGATGTCACTAAGGTCATCAAAAAGATGGGGATAAGGTTTATGCCATACAGTATAATACCGAATTCATAACATTTTACTTAAACATTTACAAATTTAAAGAGATATTTGTTTGCTGAATTTGTCAGTAGCAAATATCTTTTCAGTTCTACAACTAAAATATGACCAATTGATTGTGCAATCTCAGTGGGACTTTCCTGGTTACACAAGAAAGACAAGGAAGGAGGTTTTATTGCTGATATCAGAGGCAGTAAGCTTTCTCCTGCATTCATTTATGTCTTCTTACATATATTCTCTTCAATGCCCCCTGTCTGTTAATCCTCCCCAGCCCACAGACTATATGCCTGTCCATCAACGTTTTGATCCGACTCTGGCTCCTATTGACTTCCTTGTCAAATTCCTAGCTCAATAACCATTTTGGGCTTAAGATATTGTCTTTTTTAAATCCAAGTAGCTCGAACAACCGAATCCTTTTGTCACAAAATTTGGCTTTCACTAGTACAAGATATGCATACAGTTGGCTCTACATTCCTGCTCAGTCTGTTTAAGCCAGGCCTAGGCAAGGCTAACACTCGGTCAGTCCAATCCTAATTTACAGTCTATGCTTTAGCCCTGTGTGTCTTACTGAATAGATGGCAAGGCAAGGCAAGTTTATTTGTATAGCACAATTCATACACAAGGCAACTCAAAGTGCTGAACAAGATGCATTAAAATCATAAATAATTACAGAACATTAAAACGAAAGATAAAAACATAAAATCCCTCAGTTGTATGCACAGCTAAACAGCACCGTCTTTAACCTGGTTTTAAACATTGTCAGAGAGGAGGCCTGTCTCACATCTTCAGGAAGATTGTTCCAGATTTTAGCAGCATGAATCTGAAAAGCAGCCTCCCTATGTTTAGTTCTGACTCTGAGCACTAACAGGAGTCCAGTCCCTGTGCTCCTGAGAGTCCGGGCTGGTTCATATGGGACTAACATGTCACTAATATATTTTGGTGCGAGGCCATGGAGAGACTTGTACACAAGCAGAGCTGTTTTAAAGTCTATTCTCTGAGCCACAGGAAGCCAGTGCAGGGACCTGAGGACCGGACTAATATGGTCGTACTTCCTGGTTCTAGTCAGTTCTAGTTAGATAATTTTTTTCAGATAGAAAAGTGAAAAAGAGAGGACCCTCACTCGGCCAATCAGCTCTCAGCTCAAAGAGTCAAAAAGATACATGTTTTCTAATTAGATTAAGACGGCAGGATGTAGTTCGTAGGAATGAGACACAACACAAGATATGAATACCACAAAAATACATACACCAGTCCATATAAGTCTCACAATGTATTTATTAGGATTTTATATTGTAATTTCAGGTCAAAACAGGTCAAACAGTGTAATGTCTGGCCTCTGTCGCTTGGTGGCGCTATTGTTGCAGATGATACACCTTACAAAGAGCGGCTCGTGTTCATTGAACATACAACATTTTATGGATATACAACAGTGCACAGGTTTTATATATGGTTACTACAAGATTACTACTACTAACTGCAAGATTAAATGAACTTATACATACAACTATAGGCTTTATATTTTTAAAAAACTATCAATGAGTTTCTCTCTGGTCTCTCTCTCATGGTCTCTCTCTCTGGTTTCTCTCTCAGGTATTTCTTTCTGGTCTCTCTGATCCGTCTTTTGCCTCTCTCTCTGGTCTCTCTTTCTGGTCTCTCTCTCTGGTGTCTCTTGCTGGTCTCTCTGATCTCCCTCTGGTCTCTCTTCCTGTTCTCTCTCTATGGTCTCTGTCTCTGGTCTCCCACAGTGAACCAGTGAAAACCGAATCCTCTTCTGAATTCACCTGTTTGATAATGTAAACGGATGAAGGACTTAAAAACCAGTCTTTTTGGAGCTGGAGTATGTTACCACGGAAACTGGATCAACAGGCAGAAACACATTCAGGGAAAAGCCAAGTACTCTCTCTCCAAGTGGCATCCCTCTGGACTTTCTTTCTCTCTCTGCACATGTTAGAGTCTGTTGATGATTTCAAGTCCCAACTTATAACTTATAACATGCCTGATTGTGCGTGGGCCTCTGTGACCTGTGCTCATGATGAGGACCGTCTTCTGTGTCTTTGTTTTGAATCTGACATGTGTGTATTATTTTATCTGTATGTTTTAAATGTGAAGCGCTTTGTGATCCTGGTCTGTGAAAGGCGCAATAAAAAGTAAACTCTGGTCTCTCTCTCTCTGGTCTCTCAAGTTTCTCTCTCTCTGGTGTCTCTCTCTCCAGTCTTTTTCTCTGTCTGGTCTCTCTCTCTCTCTGGTGTCTCTCCAGTCTTTTTCTCTGTCTGGTCTCTCTCTCTCTGGTGTCTCTCCGGTCTTTTTCTCTGTCTGGTCTCTCTCTCTCTCTGGTGTCTCTCTGGTCTTTTTCTCTGTCTGGTCTCTCTCTCTCTGGTGTCTCTCTGGTCTTTTTCTCTGTCTGGTCTCTCTCTCTCTGGTGTCTCTCTGGTCTTTTTCTCTGTCTGGTCTCTCTCTCTCTCTGGTGTCTCTCTGTCTTTTTCTCTGTCTGGTCTCTCTCTCTCTGGTGTCTCTCTGGTCTTTTTCTCTGTCTGGTCTCTCTCTCTCTGGTGTCTCTCTGGTCTTTTTCTCTGTCTGGTCTCTCTCTCTCTGGTGTCTCTCTGGTCTTTTTCTCTGTCTGGTCTCTCTCTCTCTCTGGTGTCTCTCTGGTCTTTTTCTCTGTCTGGTCTCTCTCTCTGGTGTCTCTCCGGTCTATTTCTCTGTCTGGTCTCTCTCTCTCTCTGGTGTCTCTCCGGTCTTTTTCTCTGTCTGGTCTCTCTTTCTGGTCCCTCTCTCTGTTCTCTCTCTCCTGCATCTCTCTCTTTAGTCATTATCTCTGGTCTCTCTCTGGTCTCTCTCTCTCTATCACTCTCTCTCTCGTCCACACCAGTGAGACCAGGGATAGAGACAGGATTTAGTCCCAAATCTCTTTTCATCCACCACACCGTGAAACCCAGTCTCATCTTTATGTTTACAGATTCAAAGATTCTTTTCCCCTAAATTCCTGAAACGAATTAGTTTGTGCATGAAGCCGATCATTTTTATCTGATCCCAGAGTCTGGAGCCACAGTGGAACCAGCAGAGAGAGAAACCCTCTGTTTCCTTTTGGTCCAGTTCATTTGGTCATGGTTTGGAATGATAGTGGTTAAAATGACAAATGGAGAAAGAGACGTCTAAAATGAGCTACACTCTTTGGTCGGGCACAAGATTGAAATTGAATATTTTACATGATACATGGTTTTGATAAATGGTAACACAAGTATGGAGAAAAAAATGGTGACCAGAGGAACCAGAGAGAGAGAGACCAGAGACCAGAGAGAGAGACCAGAGTAAACGAGAGACCAAAGAGAGACCAGAGAGAGACCAAAGAGAGACCAGAGAGAGACCTGATAAACCAGAGAGATCAGAGAGAGAGACCAGAGTGAGAGAGAGACCAGAGAAAGAGATATAGACCAAAGAGAGAGAGACCAGAGTAAATGAGGGATCAGAGAGAGAGACCAGAGAAAGAGATATAGACCAGAGAGAGAGCAGACCCCAGTACCTCTGTGACATGTTAGTGCCATATGAACCAACTCGGACTTAGAGGATCACAGGGTCCTAAACATAAGGAGGCAACATTTCTGATTTATGTAGCTAAAATGTAGGACAGTCTTCCTGAAAATGTGAGACAGGCTTCATCTCTGACTATGTTCAAATCCAGGTTAAGAAACAGTTCTGCTTAACTGTGATTATTTATAGTGCCTTGAGTTGCTTTGTGGCTTCGTGTAGAACTATGTTATTTCCGTTGAGGTGAAACTGAATCCTTCTCGTCTTGAGTTTCACATTCCAGGTGTTTGTTGATGAAAAGACTGCGGTGGACGATCAGGTTCGAGTTCCTCTGTGATGAAACAAGAGGATCCTGAACCCAACATGATATTTTTCATCTGTCTGAATTCAAAGATCATTCAAATACAGACTGGTTTTTCCCTTCTCCATGCGTTTTTTTTTTAATCTATAAGATTGGTGGAAGAGACCATGAGAGAAACCAGAGAGAGACCAAAGAGAGACCAAAGAGAGACCAGAGAGAGACCAGAGAGAGACCTGATAAACCAGAGAGATCAGAGAAAGAGTGACCAGAGAGAGAGAGACCAAAGAGAGACCAGAGAGAGACCAGAGAGAGACCTGATAAACCAGAGAGATCAGAGAAAGAGTGACCAGAGAGAGAGACCAAAGAGAGACCAGAAAGAGACCAGAGAGAGACCAGAGAGGAACCAGAGACAGAGAATGACCAGAAAGAGAGGCTTGATAAACCAGAGACCTCAGAGAGAGACCAAAGAATGACCAGAAAGAGAGGGGCCTGATAAACCAGAGAGATCAGAGAGAGAGAGACCAGAGAGAGAAAGAGTGACCAGAGAGAGACCAGAGGGGAGCCAGAGACTGAGACCAGAAAGAGAGCAAAGAGAGACCAGCGAAAGAGATCAGAGAGAGTGAGATCAGAGAGGGACCAGAGAGAGACCAGAGAGACTAGACAAGATACATGAGAGATCAGAGAGAGAGAGACCAGAGAAACCAGAGTGAGAGAGACCCTGTGAGGACCAGATTGACCACCCTGACATCAAACCAGCCACAGAGTCTTCACTTCCGGGTCCTTTTGAAGACGTTTCTCAGCGCAGTCCTGAACATGGAGCTGGAGAAGGTGTAGATGACGGGATCCAGAGAACTGTTCAGATATGTGAGTCCGATACTGACCATGAAGACCAGCGCCATCCTCCCGAACGCCTCACAGTCCTGCGGCCGGAACCTCTTGATGGCCAGACTGCTCAGCCCGGTGACGATGGCGGGCAGGAAGCAGAGCGTGAACACCACGTTGATTGCCGCCACGGACCGGATGGCGCTTTTGAACTTCCGCTGCTGGACGATCTGCTCCTGCTTCTTCAGGAACCACACGATGCGTACGGAGCAGAACATGAGGACTAGCCAGGGCAGGATGAACTCTGCCACGTAGGCGACGTAGTGCAGCGAGATTGCCAACGGGGGGTTTTCGTACGACGCGAAACTCCGGCAGATGGACCGGTTTCCTTTGTGGTGAAGGAGGTCGGCGGTTAGCAACGGGATGCGAAAAATCATCACCAGAAACCAGATCAGGACGGAGAGGCGGATGGCATGGCGCGACGGCATGAGGCTAATGCAGTGTAACGGGTATAGCACTTTGAAGTAGCGATTCACCACCACCGCCGTCATGAACCCGATGCTAGCCGAGCGGTTGACGGCTAGCATGAAGAGGTTGATGCGGCAAAAGGCGTCGCCGTAGATCCAGTGGTCGCCGCGGAGATGGGTGTCAATGCGAAAGGGGACGCAAGCCAGCAGCAGGAGGTCGGAGAGCATGAGGTTGAAGAGGAAGACGGCATGGGGCTTCCAGATCTTCATGCGGAAGCAGAAGATCCACAGGGCTAGGAGGTTCCCGGGGAGGCCCACCACCACCTCCAGGATCATGAGGAGGAACAGGAAGGAGGTGCGAGTCTCAGGGGCGAAGGAGCAGTGGAGGAGCGGGCCGAGCGCAGACGAGTTGGACATTCTCAAGAGGCTTCTGTAAGAGAAAAGTGATCCACGACATTTATCAACATTTAAGGACATTTATGGACATTGTGTCATGAGGTGAAATGAAGGAAGGACCCAAAATGCAAAAAGAAAAAATTAATTTCTCCTACTCGGGTTCAATAAAGTATCCATCTATCTACGTATCTATCCATCTATACACACACAGAGAAACCGGTGAAACACATGAACGGGCAGGCAATGAACACAGGGGAACAGGACAGGAAGTAAATAAAAACACAACCAAAGGAAAACCAATGTTGAAATAAAACCAAGTACCAGAATAACAAAATCCACACCATGACACGTTGGTCTCTGCCCCTTATGGAACGAACAATGGCTCCATGTGTTTTTAAACTTGTATTTAGTTTGAAGTGATTGATTCTCTGATCTGTTGTTCAGGATGAGCTAAACACAACACCAGGTCTGTGACTGATAAGGAACAAGTGTGTATTCCCAAAGTTGGAGCTTACATAGAGCTTGATACTCTTGCATGTAGTAAATTCTTTAAAGAAGCTATAACCGATTCAGCGGTGTATGAGTTTGCTGCCGTAAAAAGTGCTGAGTAGAGTCTGAGCGGCCGTTTGTTCTCCTCCACTCACAGAACGAGCAGTGACCAGCCTGCGTCCTCTAGCCTCTACAGCGCTGCTTAACACCAGGGCTTCCACTTCAAAATTCGAAAATAATTCTAAAATTAAAAAAATATTTATATTCGAACAAATATTAGACAGCCCTTATAATTCGAAATGTATTTAATGACTGCAAATAAAATAGTTAGCTCCCAAAGGTTTCACCGGGACGTGCTAGCTAGCTTAGTTAGCTAGTTCAAAAACTAACTATATATATATATATATAACTCTATAACTACATGAAAACTGAACAAAGAATTCTGAACATCAGCGGTGAGTTACCCATTTATATACCGAACCTAAATCCATCAGATCCTCTTCAAATGTGTCCTAAAATGTTCGTTTCATGTTAATGGTAACTTCTGGGTTTTTCACGATCGCTTTTTGTCACTTTAAAATAGTAATTTTGTCATGAAAACGATAACACCAAATTCTGAAATAGTCCGTGCATGTGTGTTAAGGATGTATATGTGTACTGTACTGTCCGATTAACGTTTAATGGCGTGGATTGATTGATATGTATTTGTTTATTGAGCGTGGCTAGCTCGGCTAGCTTCTCTCCACAGACAACTGTGTGCAGAGAAACTGCACAGTGCAGTGACAGGCGCTCAAGGCTTGTAAAAGTTAGTATTTTACACACCTGAATTATAAACAGAGATTGCGTTGCCAAAGGGCAGCGGTCATTATTGAGTTCTGTTCTGTTCTGTTCTGTTATCAAGAAAAAATTATTGGTAGAATTACATTCAAGTCAATGGAGTGTTCTACTGCTGCTGTGAGGAGCTATTTAATAAATTATCATTAAATATTCGAAAATATTCTAATGTTAAATGAATACATTTGAATGCGAAACTAGCAGTATTCTTTTACCTATATATTGTGTTAGCTGTGCGTTGCTTTAGTACCATTTCATCAGTGATTGTTGCACAGCTTACAAGAAGTTGCGCTAATGCTAATGTTAGCATACATATCAACTTGAACTAGATGGCTCTGTGTTATGAGAGCGTAGGGGAAATGAGAAGCCATTGAGCGAGTTGGGGGGCGGTGCTAAACATTCAAACCTTGCAGAAACGGGTATACATAGTTCCCACATGACGTCACTACATACGGGGATTTGCCGACCCGGCGCCATTTGTGTTGGCATTCTGTGGGCAAAACAATAGAAAAAGAAGCTGAAACGTGTTAATGTCGTGATAAAGTTGAAAATGGTCATCTCCTGCTGGGTCAATGGATGTTCAAATCGTGCCGGAGGTTCCGTTAAACTTGGATTTTACAGTATACCCATCATTAGACTTCATGAATGTGAGAAGACTAAGCTTTTGTCAGAACAACGACGGAGGTTATGGCTTGCGAAGATAAACAGGCAAGAAACTCCTTCAAAACACGCAAGAATATGCTCGGAGCACTTTGTGTCAGGTGCGTATCGTATCTTATAATGTGTTGACAGACGTAATTTACTCAGTACTAACTTGTGTATGCTGATATCTGGTAACTTGAGAGTTTCATTATTTAGATTACTTTATTATGAGGAGGATCGGTGTCGCGTCCGAGGCTCTCGAGGGCAACGTAAATGTATTAAATAGATAATAATAGTTCTATGGTGGGCTAAAACAACGTTCACAAACAGCATTGCTTCTGTAAAAAGATCTGTGTCATAAAATAAACTGCTCTTTACGCCTGGAAAAATCAGTTGCCCACCATTCACCAAAACATACGGTCAAAAACGCGGAAATAAACAATAAGCAATCCAGAGTGTCCGTGTGGCATTAGCATTAATTAAATTAATTGTTAATATAATTAAAATAATTAAATGGAGCTCCAACTGGTATTAAATCTAAAGTTTTTGAGAAATGTTTGCATTGCTTGTTAATTTTTGCTGCATAATTTGATCAAATATGTAAAACATGTCCGTAGCACGTTAAACTGTGGTGCCATTGTATTAATATACAATTATTTGCTCAAAAGTTGCCCTTTTTTTCCAATTTGCGTTTGAATATCTACATTTATTCTCATTCTTCTGTTTAATGGAATGCACAAACACAGCAGCGTGCCATCAAAGATGGCGTCTCCGAGGAGGTCATGTGACATTCATTGGTCTGTGGGAACTATGTATAGCGCCTTTAAGACAGGAGCGAAACTAGTCCTCAAAGGGCAGGTTTTAATTCCAATCAAGCACCAACAACCAGACTCCTCACATGATTCCAGTTTGAACCTGGAGACTTGAAGAAAGGGGTGGAGTCTGGGGTGTGCTCTTGCTTGGTTGGAATGAAAACCTGCAGATGCACTAGCCCTTTTTGCAACCAGTTGGACTCCGTTGGTTTAAGACACTGGTGTAGATACAGAGACTAAGTAACCCTGCTGGGATTCTGAGGAGCACAGGGACTGGCCTCCTGCTGGTGCCCAGAAAAATCTGGAAAAGTCTTCCTGAAAATATGAGACAGGTTTCTTCTCTGTCAATATTCAAATCCAGGTTCAAACAGTTCTGTTTCGCTGTGAGAGATTTTATCTTTACGCTTTTTAATGTACTGTGAATATTCATGATTTGAGTGCCTCGGGTGAAACGGTGGCACTTTCGCTTCTAATCAAGAAAATCCTAGGTTTAAATCCTGGTCGGAACAGGACCTTTCTGAGTGGAGTTTGCATGTTCTCCCTGTGTCTGCGTAGGTTTCCTCCGGGTGCTGTGGTTTCCCCTACCACTAAAACATGTACAATAGGTCTGATTGTAAAGCACGTTGCGATCCCAACCCAGGTGTGGTGAAGCCTCTGGATGTGTTGTGCGGCTGCGGCTTCCAGAATAAACATCTATTATGATTCAATGATATTTGGTCTCACACAGAAATGCAACAGTCGCTCGCGGGAATCAGGAAGTTATGGAATATTTATCAACATATATTTTATTCATAATTATTGAATATTTTAATCTGAAGTTCAGGAATGTTCCGCTTTGGAGCAAGAAGCGAGAGGCTTCTAGCTCAGAGCCTTTCTGAGAGGAGTTTGCATGTTCTCCCTGTGTCTCAAGTTTCCCCTACCACTAAAAAGATGTATAATAGAAAAAAGTCTGAACAAGGTCTGAACCAGGTCTGAACCAGGTCTAAACCAGGTCTGAACCAGGTCTGAACCAGGTCTGAACCAGGTCTGAACCTAACAATGTATGGAGCTATTATTGTTTCAATAACATTTGTGCGTGCGTAAAAAGATATGTGTCAATAACCATAACAATGAGCTAATACAGCACAGTGGCTGAGTGGTTAGCACTCCCACTTATCAGCAAGAAGATCCTGGGTTCAAATCCCGGTCGGAACAGGGCCTATCTGAGTGGAGTTTGAATGTTCTCCCCATGTTTGCGTAGGTTTCCTCCGGGCACTCCGGTTTCCCCTACCACTAAAAACATGTATAGGTCTGACATGTGCCTCCGCCTCGCTCCCATCTCTGTGTGGAGTGAGAGACAAATGCCCACAACCGTAAACCGCTTTGACTCTGGTCTGTGAAAGGCGCTATATAAATCAAGATTACTTACTTACTTCTTTGAACCAGAGTGAAAATAAGTTACATTAACATTGATATATTCTTACATTCAGGTAAAGGAGAAGAAACCACTACCAGTCATTATCCTTGTATTTGGCTTTTAGTATTTAGTGTTTTAGTGTCTGTACCTTCACTCCTGCTGCTGTTACTCCTGCTGTTACTCCTGCTGTTACTCCTGCTGTTACTCCTGCTGCTGTTACTGCTGTTACTCCTGCTGCTGTAACTGCTGTTACTCCTGCTGCTGCTGCAATCTCAATCTCAGTTTGATTTGTGCTGATGCAAAAACTCAGCCTCATGAATGCAGATGGTTTTCCCACGGAACTTGTTCAAACATGAATTTACAAACAGGGAAAAAAAAAATCCCCAACACAGACACTCAATACATTCCTTTGTCTGACAGTTATAACACCTGGATTAGACATTTCTTTTTATTGTTTTACCTATTGTACCTGATGTGACTTTATACTTGTATGTGTGTGTCTGTGTGTGTGTGTGTGTGTATACGCATGTGGTTGTATATATAATTATACATTTGGTTTTGGGGGGGTCTGTGGGGAGGAAGGTTTAGGGCTGGGCATGTTGGATTGTTTTTAACTAAACTGTAAAGCACTTTGTGTTACACTTTTTGTATGAAAAGCGCTTTTTAAATAAAATTTGATTGAAATTTGATTGAGACCTGGATTGGACCTGGTTCAGACCTGGTTCAGACCTGGCCCATATTTGGTTCAGTCCTGGTTCAGTCCTGGTCCAGTTCTGGTTCAGACCTGGTGTAGTCCTAGTTCAGTTATGGTTGAGTCGTGGTTATGTCCTGGTTCAGACGTGGATCAGACCTGGTTCAGTCTTTGTCCAGTACTGGTTCAGACCTGCTTCAGACCCGATTCAAACCTGCGGGTCAGTCCTGGTCCAGACCTTTAAAGGGCCTATATCACGGTTTTTGACTTTTCTCTGCTTTAAACATGATTACAATGCTATTTGGCCTTCATACACAAGCCCACAGTAGTAGTTTATTCATTGATTCTGTCAATCTTTTGTAAGAGAGCAATCTGTCTCCTTCCCAGCGTGAGGCACAGAAACGCTCGGGTCCATTCAGTGACGAAAACCACACTGATGACGCGCATGACCCGTTTGCTTTGTATTTAAAATAGTTGTTAAATACTTTTGTCAAAATGGGGTAAACAATACACAATTAGTATGCTGTGTTTTTGTCAAAAATAATAAAAATAAAAATAAATTAAAAGCTGGGGGGAGGTGATTGACGGATCAAAACAGCGAATCAGAGCGCACAGGCTCCGGCTCCCGAGTCCAGCGTCTGTGGTTGGTCTCGCGGACACCACATAGAGCTGCTGTTTTTATGCTTTTGTCAGCGACTAAAAGTGTTAGGTCAACTTGAATGAAGTGTGTTATGGGTGTATTTATGTGACACATATTTGCCCTATGAGGAAGAAAGCGGCTCAACTTTTTTTCATCTGTTCTTTCATGGATCTATTATAATACCGGTTCATCTGGCGACATCATCTGAGACTTTCCAGAAACTTACAGGAACAATGGAACTGATTACTCAAAAGCTGATCACTGAAACACGTTTTCCCACGGTAAAAGACGTAACTCGGACCCCATTCGATCTGTAAGTTAGTGACGCTAACGTTGCTGTATACTTCTGTAAATAGGGTCTGAGTTGTGCATCGAGGACATAGGCTCGATGTGCGGGATTGTCATTGTTGGAAAATAAGTTTTTATCTCTTATGTATGAAATGACTAATTACAGGTGTTAAACGACAAAATAGTGATGCCTACGTCACCGTTGCGGGCGGGGGGGGCGGGCTCACAGGCATTAATAGTGGAGCACAAACTCTTCTCCTGGATCAGCTCGTTTGGTCGATGGTGACGTCACATCTATACAAGGTTGGCTCTAATCTCACAAGCTTTGATTGTTTTGTGGTGTATCATACACATTAATATCACACATGTGCATAGGACTGAGTGTGAAACATGAAGAAAAGCGTGATATAGGACCTTTAAACATGATCTTGAGGATACTGTGGTGTCTCCTGCAGGTGAAAAATCAGATCCCATCATATGTCTGGAGCTAAGCCTGGCAGGGCCTGGTTAGTACTGTGATGGGAGACCTCTGGGAACACCAGGTGCCACGGTGGGGCGACTGCAGCTGTAAGGTGCCAAACCGTGGTTGTGTCCTTTGGCAAGACACTTCCCCCACATTAGAATAAGTCTGGTGTGTGTGTGAATGGTTGTCTCTGTCTGAAAAAAAACAGTTGGAATCCGCTCCTCATCCACGTCCAGGAAGCAATACAGTCTCTACATTCAAACAACAGGTAAGACTTAGAAATACTACCTTAAGTCTAAAATCACAGAATGTCAGTGATGCTGCATCAGCTGACTTTAGCTGTAGTCTGTTCATTGCTATTCACCCGGTGTCCCACTGTCTATTTCATGGAGTAAGGACCCCTGAATTTGTTTTTGTTTATCTGCATCTGTGAACTGGGCTGCACCCCCTCCCTGCCTGGGAGCAGCCACCGTCCCGGATCTACAGCCTCATGGGGCTTTCACACCGCCAACGCTGAAACGCTGAAGCCCCGCTCACCAGACGCGCATTCTCTAGTTTTCAGACGCAGAGGACTTCACACCAGAACGTCCTGACGCGAGCCGGAAGTACCGGAAGTAGCCGGCCGGCTCTGATGCTAACAGAGCTATGCTAGCGGCTTCTTGTGTACAGATCGTCTCCAATATGCAGCTTTGCAGCGTGTCTTTGCTCACAGACATTCCACAGGCTTTATATAACAGTAGTATGTGTTCACGGAGGTGCGCCATACGTGTTTTCATATTATTAAACGGTATTTCCGCATCGGCGAACACACTCGAAGCCGTTGCATAAGGTCACGGGAGCATGACAACGCATATTTTCACAAGCACACAGTCCCCCATTGTCAACCCTGGTTTGAGTTCTGGTGAAGCCTGGTGTGGGTCCTGTTTTGGCTATTTACGAGTATTTTCAGTCTGCTCGCTCAGTCCGCTAATGTCCCCGTGACCACTTTGCTGCTCTCTGATTGGTTGTCGCACGAACGTCCCAAGGAAAGGATGAGCAGAATCCATCTCCTGTGGTCGTCGATTTTTCGCTCCAGCTCCTCCCTTTTCACTTTCCCGCCAAGTCCGTGCGTCTCTACTGAACAGTCCGTTTGTGCTAACCGAGTGGACTGTGCGTTGCGACGGCCGAACGGGCGCCACCATAGACTTTGCATTGAAACCCGACGCAACGCATGATCCGGTCTGAAAGCACCATCAGTCCTGAATCTACTGCCTCAGTCCTGGTTCTACCGCCTCAGTCCTAGATCTACAGCTTCAGTCCTGGATCTTCAGCCTCAGTCCTGGATCTACAGCCTCAGTCCTGGATCTACAGCCTCAGTCCTGGATCTACTGCCTCAGTCCTGGATCTACAGCCTCAGTCTTCCATTTATAGATTAGGGCAATACACAAATACATTGAATTGAGTTTTTCCCTTCTCTAAGTTTCTCTCAGTTTTCTGTTTTTTAAACCCTAAAACATATTATTTTGCAGCACAGTAGATCCCCTTTAAGTTAGCCCTCTCTTCCCGCTCGCCCACCGCCTTTAGCCAGATATTTGTCGTCTCTGGACTCTGATCTGACACTCATTTGTTTTTTATCAGAGCAAACACAGGATTGAACCTTGGCTTCTGTTCCGTGTTAGTTTATGGCCTAAACTAACACGGAACAAGTGGCCTAAACTAACACGGAACAAGTGGAGACAGGAACAAGTCGATATGCAACTATTTCAGGCACAAAGCATTCACTGACAGGGGTCTGTAGTTTAGTATTAGTAGTAATCTTTATTTATATACCGCCTTTTCACTGCAGATCTGAGTCTCAAAGCGGTTTACAATTGTTAATTTTGGGCATTTGTCTCTCACTCCACACAGAGATGGGAGCGGGGTCGGCAGTACAGGAAGCGCATGCCAGAACTATTGGACATATTTTTAGTGGTAGGGGAAACCGGAGTACCCGGAGGAAACCTACGCAGACACGGGGAGAACATGCAAACTCCACTCAGAAAGGCCCTGGTCCGACCGGGATTCGAACCCAGGACCCTTTCGCTGAGAGGCGAGAGTGCTATCCACTCAGCCACCGTGCCGCTTTAACGTTTAAGTTTAGCCTTTAACGGTGAAGTTTGAAGATATTGGTGGTATTGATTCATGGCTTTTTATTATTTGATTTGACTTTTTATTATTTGATTGATTTAATTGATTGATTTATATCTCTCTATAAAGATAATTGATATACAGTACAGACCAAAAGTTTGGACACACTTTCTCATTCAATGAGGTTCCTTTTTTTTCATGACTATTGCTGTAGATACACACCAGGCTGTGTAAGGGCTGTTTGACCAATAAGGAGAGTGATGGTGCTGGGCCACATGACCGCCACAGTCACCGGACCTGAACCCAATCCAGATGGTTTTGGGGCTGGACCACAGAGTGAAGGAGAAAGGGCCAAAAAGTGCAAAGCATCATGGGAACTCCTTCAAGACTGTTCGAAGAGTGTGTGAAGCAGTAATCAGAGCAAAAGGTGCTACTTTGAAGAACCGAGAATATAAGACATATTTTAGTACGTACATACTTCCACATGAGTTAATTCATAGTTTTGATGCCTTCAGTGTGAATCTACAATTTTCATAATCATGAAAATAAAAAACTCTTTGAATGAAAAGTTGTGTCCAAACTTTTGGTCTGTACTGTAGATTAGTCCAGAAAATGGCAAAACTATAGGTAGCAAGTCCCAGAGACTGAAGCAGAGACTGGAGCAGAGACTGGAGCAGAGACTGAAGCAGAGACTGAAGCAGAGACTGGAGCAGAGACTGAAGCAGAGACTGAAGCAGAGACTGAGGCAGAGACTGGAGCAGAGACTGAAGCAGAGACTGAAGCAGAGACTGAGGCAGAGACTGAAGCAGAGACTGAAGCAGAGACTGAGGCAGAGACTGAAGCAGAGACTGAGGCAGAGACTGAAGCAGAGACTGAAGCAGAGACTGAAGCAGAGACTGAGGCAGAGACTGAGGCAGAGACTGAAGCAGAGACTGAGGCAGAGACTGAGGCAGAGACTGAAGCAGAGACTGAAGCAGAGACTGGAGCAGAGACTGAAGCACAGACTGAAGCAGACTGGGGCAGAGACTGAAGCACAGACTGAAGCACAGACTGAAGCACAGACTGAGGCAGAGACTAAACCAGGATTAAAGCAGAGACTGAAGCAGAACCTGGCCCAGATCTTAGCCAGACAACAGCCTTCATACTTTGTCATGTCTTTACTTTGAGCCTGCTTCAGTCTCTCTTTATCAGTAGCATGGTTGGTTCCCTCCCTGCCCTGGACTCTGCTGATAACCTCACAGTCCACCATCTCTCCTGCTCCTCAAACACGGTCAAATCGAAGTGTGAAATGTACAGAAGGCTGCGGCGTTTCACGTGAGAGCGGAGGTGATACCACAGGCTTAATGTTTAGCCTGAGCCGCAGCAGGTGAACCAGGATTAAACGGCAAACGGGATGGAGCTGAGAGGGAGGAAGATCCCGCGCTCCAAGGAGAAAACAGGTGAGAGAAATGATAAATCTGACCAAAATCATTACAATATGTGTTTTTATGTTTTTGAGACATGTTGGCTCAGTCTTTAGATATAGACTCGTAGTAGTAGTAGTAGTAGTAGTAGTAGCAGTAGTAGTAATGGCAGTAGTGGTGGTAAGACTAGTAGTAGTAATGGTAGTAGTAGTAGTAGCAGAAGTAGCAATAGTAGTAGTAGAAAAAGTTTTAAAAGGCCAATGATTTTGGCTCATGAAGTAATCAAATATGTATCATTCTAACGATCATTGAGATAAATGCAGTAGCTGTAGGTGTGGTAGTATACATGTAGATAGTGATAGTGGTAACAGTAAAGTGGCAGTAGTAGTAATAGCTGCAGGAGTTGTACTAATAGTAGAACTAGTAGTAGTAGCAGCAGAAGTAATATCAGTAGTAGTAGTAGTAGTAGTAGTAACAGCAGCAGTGGTAGCAGTAGTAGTAGTGGTAGTAGTAGCAGTAGTAGTAGTAGTAGTAGTAGTAGCAGTAGTAGTAGTAGTAGTAGTAGTAGTAGTAGTAGTAGTAGTAGTAACAGCAGCAGTGGTAGCAGTAGTAGTAGTGGTAGTAGTAGAAGTAGTAGTAGTAGTAGTAGTAGTAACAGCAGCAGTGGTGGTAGTAGTAGTAGTAGTAGTAGTAGCAGTAGTAGTAGTAGTAGTAGTAGCAGTAGTAGTAGTAGTAGTAGTAACAGCAGCAGTGGTAGCAGTAGTAGTAGTAGTAGTAGCAGTAGTAGCAGTAGTAGTAGTAGTAGTAGTAGTAGCAGTAGTAGTAGTAGTAGTGGTAGTTTATTGATGAGCTACTACTACTACCGCCACTGCTGCTGCTACTACTACTACTACTACTACTACTACTACTACTACTACTACTACTACTACTACTACTACTGCTACTACTACTAGCACTACTGTCATTACTACTACTACTACTACTGCTACTGCTACTACTGCTACTACTGCTACTACTACTACTTCCTCTACTATCACTGCTGCGACTATAGCCATAACATTGAAGGGATTTATTTGTTTCAAACCTTGGCTGGGGGATTTTAAAGCTGTGGTATGTAACTTTCAAACCACAACAAAGGAACTATGCCGTAACATCTATACCTCTAGTTCTGCCTCTAAAACAGTTCCTTCTATTATTAGTTTTCATGTATTTTCGGCTTCTGTCACATCTTCAGATCAGCTTAAAATAGACTGCCCTCATTGGTCAATCATCTCTCAGCCCAAAGAGTCGAATAGTGACTCACAGGGATCTTTTTCACATGTTTTCTAATGAGATGGAGACAGCAGGTTGTGGTCTGGTTTTACTTTTACAAAACTCTTTCTGTTCAGTGCAAAGTGTGTAATTTTAGGTCCCCCAGCTTTAATATGCAGCGCAGCAGTGGGAGCTGAGCCTTCTGCTAATCAGCTCAGAGTAATCTACTTAAGACTTAACTCTGCCTCCTCCACGACAGTTATAGTCTCTCCATCTACACCACCTCCTCACATCAGGAGCAGTTACCTCATCAGCTCAAAGCAAGTTTATGTATCTATTTTTAACTAGAATTGGTCTTTTTTGACCCAAAATCCTGAGTTAGTTTGTTCTCGCTTCCTGTTAGAACGACTCCATCAGGGATTGTGCTGCTCTTCCCTTTATAAAGTTGTCTTTGTGAAAAATATGTTTGAAAAGGTTATTTGTTCCACTTGGATTAAAAACTTATCGTACTGTGATTCTCTCTGACCTCTCTCTCTGGTCTTTCCCTGGTCTCTCTCTGGTCTCTCCCTGGTCTCACCCTGGTCTCTCTCTGGTCTCTTTGGTCTCTCTCTGGTCTCTCTGGTCTCTATCTGGTCTCTCTCTTGTCTCTCTCTAATCTCTCTCTGCTCTCTCTCTGCTCTCTCTCTGCTCTCTCCCTGGTCTCTCTCTGGTCTCTCTGGTCTCTCCCTGGTCTCTCTGGTCTCTCTCTAATCTCTCTCTGCTCTCTCTCTGCTCTCTCTCTGCTCTCTCTCTCTGCTCTCTCCAAGCGGGCAGTTTAAAAGCAGCCACTTCTTGCTACACTGCGCTTCCTGAGGCTCTTAGCACCCACCTCCTCCCAAGCACCTCCTCAAGCTCATGGTTCCTACCCTGGCTCCTGCTCCGCCTATGCCCCATTCACTTCATGCTTCTAGCCACCACCAGTGTTTGACCTTTGGGGGTCTGATATCATCTACAGCAGCAGACAATGTCCCCTCTGCACGTATCAATGCCGGGGTCAATGCGCCAAACAAATACATCTTTTTCATGCAATTTTGTTTCTGTCTTGGTCTCTTCAGATTGAATTGTCATTACCAAAACAAAACCTTAACGTAATTTCTCTGTCTCTTTTTCAGTCAAATCCTCCACTCCTCCTCCTCCTCCCCCTGCACCTCCTCAGTCCAATGGCATCCGTCGCTCTGCTCCTTCCTCCCCCCCTCCCCTGTTTCTCTCCCCCATCACTCGCCTCTACATCTACGCCCTGCACGGCCTGCTGTGCGAGCTCGTCTTCACCTCCTTCTGGGACCTCCCCAGAACCAGAGACCTGCGCCTCCTCGGCCACAGCTCCCTCTGGTCTCTCCCCATGTACTCCCTCGCTCTGCTCGCCATCGAAAAGCTCCGGAATCTGCTTTTGAGCCGAAACACGTGGCTCCCGTTCCGACTGGTCGCCTACACGTTGTTCATTTACCTGTGGGAGCTCAGCTGGGGGGCGGGGCTTACGCTGTTGAGGGCGTGTCCCTGGGATTATTCCGGTTTCACGTACAACTTTAAAGGACTGGTCACGCTGGAGTATGCACCGTTCTGGGCAGTGGCGGCGCTGATAGCAGAGAAGTTTGTCATCAAGAACACGCTAAGATTTCAGATTTGATTCGGGGGAACTTTCGTAGAATGTGTATTCGATTTGTAAAATTTTATACAATTTTTTATCCACTTTCTATTTTCTTTCCAGTCTCTCTGGTCTCTCTGGTCTTTTGCTCTGGTCTGTCTCTGGTCTCTCTCACTGGTCTCTCTCCTCTGGTCTTTTGCTCTGGTCTGTCTGAAGTCTCCCTCTCTGGTCTCTCTCTCTGGTCCTTCTTTGGTCTCTCTCAGGTCTCCCTCTGGTCTCTTTCTGGTCTCTCTCTGGTCTCTATCTATCTCTCTCTGGTCTCTTTCTAGTCTCTCTGGTTTCTCTCTCTGGACCCTCTTTGATTTCTCTCAGGTTTGTCTCTCATTTCTCTCTCTCTGGTCTCTCTCAGGTCTCTCTCTGGTCTCTCTCTCTTGACCCTCTCTGGTCTCTCTCAGGTCTCTCTTTATGGTCTCGAATAAGTTTTATGTACAAGTTCAAAGGACTGATCTAATTTATAGCAAAGACTTTTGTCGTCAAGAACGTCAAGATATTTCTAATTTAATTGAATGGCACATTTGTAAAATTATACTTGATTTGAATTTTTTTATTTTTTTAAATAAATTTTACTAAAATATTGTGTATTTATCACCTTAGTCATCTATGTGTTTGAAGTTCGTTTTGTATTTGTACTTTTTATGACCTTTTGTTCTTCCAAATAAAATAAGGGCTTGTGTGATGTTTATTCTTGATTCTGTTTCTGATGTTGAGCCAAAATTCTGCAAAAAATAGGTTTGTATTTGAAAAATTTGACATGTCATATTCATTCCCTTTATTAATCAATTTCTGGGTTGGGGGGCGTGACATTCAGAGCCAATCACACAGCACCGGCCCCTGCTGATCCTCCTGCAGGGGGTGGGTCCAGGAGAAGATGGCTTCAGGCAAAGTGGGGTCTGCTGTCGTTGTGTCCGTGGGCAAGACACTTAAGCCCACATTGCCCGATACCCCCGCTGAAACACCAGGGCCGTATCTTTGTCAAAGCAGCAACCATCTGGACACACCACCTGCAGGAGGATCATGGACTGGTGCTGTGTGATGTGAGTGGCAGTTCTGATTGCCACCTCCCAAACCCGGAAGTGGAATAATAAAGAGGATGAAGATGACATGACATGACACGACCGTCTGTCTGTTCATGCATTGAAGATTGTTTACTCAGATCTTTGGGCTCGTCTCTGAACGTGTCTGGACTCTGCTGAATTATCATATCTTGGCAGAGTTTATTTTGACATTGACAAATGTCATTATAAGAAGAAAACCTGCAGTGCACCATTGGAAACGAGAGAAAAACACACAGTCAGTATGTGTGCTGTACTGATTTTGACAACACCCTGAATATCTTATCATCACCTTTAGTGTGAACGTTTGAGAAATATCACACATTATTGTTTGCCTTTTAAAATAATAATGAGACTACTTTTACACTATCCTTAAGTGAAGTAAAAAAAAAAATTATTGGCAGAAAATTTGAAAGGATTAGCACAAGAAACTTTAGTTGTAAGGGACTAGTATATCAGACAGTTCTCTAGTCTCTCTCTGGTTTCTCTCTGGTCTCTCTCTGGGCTCTCTCTGGTCTCTCTCTGGTCTCTCTCTGGTCTCTCTCTGGTTTCTCTCGGGTCTCTCTGGTTTCCCTCTGGTCTCTCTCGGGTCTCTCTCTGGTCTCCCTCTGGTCTCTCTCGGGTCTCTCTCTGGTCTCTCTCTGGTTTCCCTCTGGTCTCTCTCGGGTCTCTCTCTGGTCTCCCTCTGGTCTCTCTCTGGTCTCTCTCTGGTTTCCCTCTGGTCTCTCTCGGGTCTCTCTCTGGTCTCTCTCTGGTCTCTCTGGTCTCTCTCTGGTTTCCCTCTGGTCTCTCTCGGGTCTCTCTCTGGTCTCCCTCTGGTCTCTCTCTGGTCTCCCTCGGGTCTCTCTTGGGTCTCTCAGTAGTCTCTGTCTCATCTTTCTCTAGTCTCTTTCTCTCTGTTATCTCTTGCTGGCCAATGTCTGGTCTCTCTCTCTTTGAGCTCTCTCTCTGGTCTCTACTTTTGTTTTAAAATTCATGAAACCGAGTGTGAAGGAGAGAATAATTTATGCATGGATGTAATCAGGAGCCAGAGAGAGGTGGAGCAAAACCGTCACCCCTTTTGGGCTTTATTGAGCTATAGTGTGTTAGAATTGTCCATCACAAAGATCAAAACATCTTTTAACAATTCCTGATAATGATGTCATTGCATTGGAAGCAGCTGATTGGCTAGTTTCAACAGTTCATTGTAGTGCATTTATTAACACATAAATCAGGATTAAAGCACACAGCATATTTCTTTAGTCTTTGTAGTATCCACAGATTCTTAAAGTGTCTTAAATGTTCTACTGTTGTGTTTTAAATGTGGCTAAATGCAGACTATAAGGTCTTTTCCGTTCCGGGTTTTGAGCCACAAACAGAGCAACAGTCCCCTGGTCTCGCTGCCACTGGTACCTGCACAAAACACAATAATATATGAAAAATATACCATAACAAAGAAGAGAAATCTCTAGAAATATCTGTGATGTTAGAAACACAATAAACTCCAAAGTTTAAAGACTTATGTATTTGTGAGAAATTATGTTGGTCCAGGTCTAGTTTGGGTCTTGTTTTGATTCAGTCTTTTTTAAAGGTTTGGTCTTGGCATGGTTTTGGCCTGGATCTGGATTTGGTCCGAATCTGGGACTAGTTGGGTCCAGTTTTGGTCTGAGTCTCGTTTTGGTCTGACTCTGAGTCTGGTTTTGGTCCAAGTCTAAGTCTATTCTTGGTCCGAGTCTGGGTCTAGTTGGAATTTGGGATTAGTTTCTGCCTGGGTCATGTCTTAGCCTGGTGTTGGTTCAGGTGTAGATTTTGTCTGGGTTTGGTCTGGGTCCAGGTCTGTCTGGGTTTAGTTGAGGTCTGGTTTTGGTCTGACTCTGGTTTTGGTCCAAGTCTGGTTTTGGTTTGAGTTTAGTTTGGGTCAGAGACTGGTTGTGGTCAGAGTCGAGGTCTACTCTTGGTCCGAGCCTGGGTCTATTTTTGGTCCGAGTCTGGGTCTATTCTTGGTCCGAGTCTGGGTTTATTCTTGGTCCGAGTCTGGGTCTACTCTTGGTCCAAGTCTGGGTCTACTCTTGGTCCGAGTCTGGGTCTACTCTTGGTCCGAGTCTGGGTCTAGTTGGGATCTGGGATTAGTTTTGGTCTGAGTAACTAGTTCTTCTACACTCTTTGCTTGGATCTCGTCTCCAAGTCTCTGCGACCCTTTTACTTTTACTCCAGGTTTGAATTACTTTTGTAACTTTATTGATCTTGTATTTCCTCTTTATCGACACAAACACAACACTCACTGGTGATGCTCTGGGATCAGCAGACTGTCCCCAGAGCTCAGTCTGAACTGGTCCTCATGGATCGTCACCATGGACTCTCCCTCCTGAAAGAGAAGAGAATGTATTTAGCAAACAGTTAAAAAAGAAACAAAGATATAAGATAAATGTATCTTTCTAATTTGTTTGTTTGTTATTTTTCAATGTTTTTAACAATTAAAAACACATTATTCACTTTACAAAATATTAAAAACCTTGGTCTCAAACACGCGGACAGTAAAAAGGTGTTATGTCGCCCCCTAATGGACATAGAGATTAATGTCATTGGAGAATCTGTTTACATATGTTCTTCATTGTTTCAAAGCAAATTTTAAACAAATGTCTCTCTGTGTCTATATGTACCTGTGTCTCTGTGTCTATATGTACCTGTGTCTCTCTGTGTCTATATGTACCTGTGTCTCTCTGTGTCTATATGTACCTGTGTCTCTCTGTGTCTATATGTACCTGTGTCTCTGTGTGTCTATATGTACCTGTTTCTCTGTGTCTATACAGTATGTACCTGTGTCTTTCTGTGTCTATATGTACCTTTGTCTATATTTACCTGTGTGTTCTCAGAGACACCGAGGTTAAGAGTTCTGCTTCAGTGAAACAATAATAATAAATACGTCGTGTTTGATCCACGTACAAACTGCCAGATCCAGGCGTCGCTCTGTCGGGTCGTGTTCTCCGTGTGTCCCGCTCCAAACACCATCGCCTGCAGACATCAAAGGAAAAGCACTGACCCGGAGTTGTGTTTAGCTCCACACATGCTCCACTCCACAATCAAACTCCTCGGCACGGTGGCTGAGTGGATAGCACTCTCGCCTCTCAGCAAGAAGGTCCTGGGTTCGAATCCCGGTCGGACCAGGGCCTTTCTGAGTGGAGTTTGCATGTTCTCCCCGTGTCTGCGTAGGTTTCCTCCGGGTACTCCGGTTTCCCCTACCACTAAAAATATGTCCAATAGTTCTGGCATGCGCCTCCTGTACTGGCCCCGCTCCCATCTCTGTGTGGAGTGAGAGACAAATGCCCAAAAATTAACAATTGTAAACCGCTTTGAGACTCAAATCTGCAGTGAAAAGGCGGTATATAAATAAATACTTACTTACTTACTTACTACTTACTCCTCGCCTGCAGTAACTCTATCACACTGTAAACCCTGACAAGTAAAGTTTACTTGAAAAAACCTTGGAATTAAATTGCACATTAACTTCACTTGAATTGCTCGTGTACATCCTTTATTTGAGATTACTAAGTAAACTCAAGTGATTGCGATAAAGTTTAAATATGAACTTATATTCCGCCCGGGCATTGTACTTGGAACCTTGCGGTAGGGAGGTGACGGTGCTATCCACTCAGCTACCGAGCCATCCTGGCACTGACATACAGTGCCTTGCGAAAGTATTCGGCCCCCTTGAACCTTTCAACATTTCGCCACATTTCAGGCTTCAAACATAAAGATATAAAATTAAATTTTTTTTGTCATGAATCAACAACAAGTGGGACATAATCGTGAAGTGGAACGAAATGTATTGGATAATTTAAACTTTTTTAACAAATAAAAAACTGAAAAGTGGGGCGTGCAATATTATTGGGCCCCTTTACTTTCAGTGCAGCAAACTCAGTCCAGAAGTTCAGTGAGGATCTTTGAATGATCCAATGTTGTCCTAAATGACTGATGATGATAAATAGAATGCACCTGTGTGTAATCAAGTCTCCGTATAAATGCACCTGCTCTTTGATAGTCTCAGGGTTCTGTTTAAAGCGCAGAGAGAACCATGAAGACAAAGGAACACACCAGGCAGGTCCGAGATACTGTTGTGGAGAAGTTTAAAGCCGGATTTGGATACAAAAAGATTTCCCAAGCTTTAAACATCTCAAGGAGCACTGTGCAAGCAATTATATTGAAATGGAAGGAATATCAGACCACTGCAAATCTACCAAGACCCGGCCGTCCCTCCCAACTTTCATCTCAAACAAGGAGAAGACTGATCAGAGATGCAGCCAAGAGGCCCATGATCACTCTGGATGAACTGCAGGAAACTACAGCTGAGGTGGGAGAGTCTGTCCATAGGACAACAATCAGTCGTTTATCTGGCCTTTAAATCTGGCCTTTATGGAAGAGTGGCAAGAAGAAAGCCATTTCTCAAAGATATACATAAAAAGTCTCGTTTAAAGTTAGCCACAAGCCACCTGGGAGACACACCAAACATGTGGAAGAAGGTGCTCTGGTCAGATGAAACCAAAATCAAACTTTTTGGCCACAATGCAAAACGATATGTTTTGCGTAAAAGCAACACAGCTCATCACCCTGAACACACCATCCCCACTGTCAAACATGGTGGTGGCAGCATCATGGTTTGGGCCTGCTTTTCTTCAGCAGGGACAGGGAAGATGGCTAAAATTGATGGGAAGATGGATGGAGCCAAATACAGGACCATTCTGGAAGAAAACCTGTTGGAGTCTGCAAAAGACCTGAGACTGGGATGGAGATTTATCTTCCAACAGGACAATGATCCAAAACATAAAGCCAAATCTACAATGGAATGGTTCACAAATAGACGTATCCAGGTGTTAGAATGGCCAAGTCAAAGTCCAGACCTGAATCCAATCGAGAATCTGTGGAAAGAGCTGAAGACTGCTGTTCACAAACGCTCTCCATCCAACCTCACAGAGCTCGAGCTGTTTTGCAAGGAAGAATGGGCAAGAATTCCAGTCTCTCGATGTGCAAAACTGATAGAGACATACCCCAAGCGACTTGCAGCTGTAATTGCAGAAAAAGGTGGCGCTACAAAGTATTAGCACAAGGGGGCCGAATATTATTGCACGCCCCACTTTTCAGTTTTTTATTTGTTAAAAAAGTTTAAATTATCCAATTAATGTCGTTCCACTTCACGATTGTGTCCCACTTGTTGCTGATTCTTGACAAAAAATATGTTTGAAGCCTGAAATGTGGCGAAATGTTGAAAGGTTCAAGGGGGCCGAATACTTCCGCAAGGCACTGTACCTGTCTCATTTAAGAGTCTACACGTCAAAAAGTCAAAAATGAGGCTTAGTTGAACAGAGAGAGTTCAATTCAAAGAAAACCCTGTGTGATGAGCCAAGCTTTAAATAAACTAACAATAAATGAGTAATATTCACTTTCTGGGAAAAATCTATTTAAAATAACTTTGATATCTGAAGTACGATTGAAGTTAGGGTTTACAGCAGACACTAGGTTTGTGTAAGCTCTCAGTCGAACAAGGATTAGTCAAAGCAAAGGAGGGTTTCTCACCCAGAATCTGTACCGTGTTTCTCTCTATGTGCATGTTTCTCTCTCTCTCTCTGTGTTTCTCTCTCTCTGTGTGTGTGTGTGTCTCTCTGTGTGTGTCTCTGTGTCTCTCTCGGTGTGTGTTTCCAGCGGTAGTACAGATGATGGGTGAGAAACCTTCCTTTGGTCAATGAGACGCTGTTTGATTCCACAAAATCTCAGTGATAATTGTTGTTGTCATTAGAGCTAGAGAAAAAATGTATGGCCTCTGGGTTTGCCTCAGGGCAGCTGTGGCCTCTGGGTTTGCCTCAGGGCAGCTGCGGCCTCTGGGTTTGCCTCAGGGCAGCTGCGGCCTCTCGGTTTGCCTCAGGGCAGCTGCGGCCTCTCGGTTTGCCTCAGGGCAGCTGCGGCCTCACCTCGGTCTCGAACTGTGCCCCGAACAGGTCGATGGGCCCAGTGCTCAGAGCAGAGCGTTGTTTGTTTATCAAGGATTTAAAACAGAACGAAGACATGACGTTCATCGTGTTCATCTGGAACGGAGGATTCTGGAACACAAACGCTGGAAACACACACAGAGAGAGACACACACACAGAGAGAGACACACACACGCAGACAGAGATAGAGAGAGACATGCACACCGAGAGAGAGAGCGACACACACACACAGAGACACACACACACACACACACACACAGACACACACAGAGACACACACATACACACACACAGACACAGACACACAAAGATAGAGAGAGAGAGACATGCATACAGAGTGAGACACACACACACACAGAGGTAGATACACAGAGAGAGAGAAAGAGAGAGAGAGAGAGACATGCACAGAGAGAGAGAAAGAGAGAGAGACACACACATACACACAGAGAGAGAGAGAGAGAGAGAGAGACATGCACAGAGAGAGAGAAAGAGAGAGACACACATACACACAGAGAGAGAGAGAGAGAGACATGCACAGGGAGAGAGAGAGAGAGAGAGAGACATGCACAGAGAGAGAGAGAGAGAGAGAGAGAGAGACATACACACAGAGAGAGACAAGGACACGCACACAGAGATACACACAGATACACAAAGCAAGAGAGAGACACACACACACACACAGAGACACACAGAGGGAGAGAGAGAGACACACAAACACACACACTTGTAGGATTAATTTGTGTATCCACAGAATCAAACAAAGACAGTCCTTCACTCACTGGGATCTGGTCTTCCTGTTTTGGCCTGTTTTGAAGCCATAAACCTGCGGACAGGAGAGAAGAGAGGAAATATTAGGATTCTACCTTTTTCATGGTTTTTATAAAAGGGAAAACCAGAGCACCTGGAGCAAACCTATGCAGACACAGGGAGAACAAGCATACACCACTCTTAAAAGCCCTGCTCCAACCTGAAGAAGGCTAAGCACTCAGCCACTGTGCCACCTACTTCAGTAATATACACGCTTTATGGGAGTTTAATACATTTTGTTATTATTTTTGCCCATTTTCTTCCGCTTTATCCGTTACCGTGTTGTGGAGGCAGCAGTCTGAGCAGAGGCAGAGCCCAGACTTCCCTCTCCACACACTGCACTGAACGATTAACCCAGGGCTCTGACTGCAGACGCTACTCCCTCTTCACTAAAACAGTCCTTTCTATTTACATCTGTGACACGTGATTTTACTGTGTGTATATGCATCATTACAAAACACAGCTGTGGCAGAGTGCAGAGCGGCGTGGCAGGACTGAATACAAAAGTGTGTCCTTATTCATGATTCTATTTATGTACAATACGATACACAAACAGAGTCGTTCTCACTCCTGGATCACTGGGACCAGCTGAGTTCCCAGGTTATGGCAGTGAAACCATCGCTCGAACAGAAGGTCAGTGCTGTTCTCCACATAGTACCTGCAACAAGAGACACGGCAATTTACAAACACAGACTTTAATTTGATATTTTACAGCTGTATCAAGTACAGAATAGACTGTACTGTGTGTATATTTAGTGGATAATTGTAGTAGGTGTAGCAGTAGTAGTAGGTTCAGCAGTAGGTGTAGCCGCAGTAGTAGGTGTAGTAGCAGTAGTAGTAGTAGGTGTAGCAGTAGTAGTAGGTGTAGCAGTAGGTGTAGCAGCAGTAGTAGTAGGTGTAGTAGCAGTAGTAGTAGTAGGTGTAGCAGTAGGTGTAGCAGCAGTAGTAGGTGTAGTAGCAGTAGTAGTAGTAGGTGTAGCAGCAGCAGTAGATGTAGTAGCAGCAGTCGGTGTAACAGCAGCAGTAGGTGTAGTAGCAGTAGTAGTAGTAGGTGTAGCAGTAGTAGTAGGTTCAGCAGTAGGTGTAGCAGCAGTAGTAGGTGTAGTAGCAGTAGTAGTAGTAGGTGTAGCAGTAGTAGTAGGTGTAGCAGTAGGTGTAGCAGCAGTAGTAGTAGGTGTAGTAGCAGTAGTAGTAGGTGTAGCAGTAGGTGTAGTAGCAGCAGTAGGTGTAGCAGCAGTAGTAGGTGTAGCAGTAGTAGTAGGTGTAGCAGCAGCAGTAGGTGTAGCAGCAGTAGTAGGTGTAGCAGTAGTATTAGGTGTAGCAGTAGGTGTAGCAGCAGCAGTAGGTGTAGCAGCAGCAGTAGGTGTAGTAGCAGCAGTAGGTGTAGTAGCAGTAGTAGTAGGTGTAGCAGCAGCAGTAGGTGTAGTAGCAGCAGTAGGTGTAGCAGCAGCAGTAGGTGTAGTAGCAGCAGTAGGTGTAGTAGCAGTAGTAGTAGGTGTAGCAGTAGGTGTAGTAGCAGTAGTAGGTGTAGCAGTAGTAGTAGGGGTAGCAGTAGGTGTAGTAGCAGCAGTAGGTGTAGCAGTAGTAGTAGGTGTAGCAGTAGGTGTAGTAGCAGCAGTAGGTGTAGTAGCAGTAGTAGTAGGTGTAGCAGTAGGTGTAGTAGCAGTAGTAGGTGTAGTAGTAGTAGTAGGTGTAGCAGTAGGTGTAGTAGCAGCAGTAGGTGTAGCAGTAGTAGTAGGTGTAGCAGTAGGTGTAGTAGCAGCAGTAGTAGTGGGTGTAGCAGTAGGTGTAGCAGTAGTAGTAGGTGTAGCAGTAGGTGTAGTAGCAGTAGTAGGTGTAGCAGTAGTAGTAGGTGTAGCAGTAGGTGTAGTAGCAGCAGTAGGTGTAGCAGTAGTAGTGGGTGTAGCAGTAGGTGTAGCAGTAGTAGTAGGTGTAGCAGTAGTAGTAGGTGTAGCAGTAGGTGTAGTAGCAGTAGCTGATTGGCTGAGTCTAAACTAGTGCTAGAACAAACTGTTCTCAAGTCAGAACGCGAGACATGGATCGTATTACATACTTCCATTCTCTGTGGTTTGAAAGTTAGGTACCCCAGCTTTAAATGTGTTGTATGAGTGTTTTAAAAGAGCACTGGTACCGGAGACAGTCAGTCTCTGTGGGCAGCCTCCGTCTCTCCACCACCAGACCCACGGTACCAGCTTTTCTCTGCGGAGAGTGTGGGATCCGAGCGGGAAGCAAGAACATCTGCAACAGAAGTATTATCAACTTCAACATTCAATCACCAGAGAGAGAGAGACCAGAGAGAGACCAGAAAGAGAGACCAGAGAGAGACCAGAGAGAGACCAGAAAGAGAGACCAGAGAGAGACCAGAGAGAGGCCAGAGAGAGACCAGAAAGAGAGACCAGAGAGAGACCAGAGAGAGGCCAGAGAGAGACCAGAAAGAGAGACCAGAGGAAGAGACCAAAGAGAGAGACAAGAGAAAGACAAGAGAGAGAGAGACCAGAGAGAGAGAACAGAGAGAGACCAGAAAATGGCCAGAGAGAGGTCAGAGAGAGAGGTCAGAGAGAGAGGTCAGAGAGAGAGGCTGCGTACCTCTCCTTCTTTGATGTGGACGTCTTTGTGTTTTCCGTTTTCCACCACTTTGAGGCACATGTCTCCTTTGACCTGGAAGAACAGCTGAGACACACACAAGTAATAATGTTTGGTGAATTTGGATGCAGCCTTGTCTTTCTCTCTGATCTCTCTCTCTGGTCTCTCTCTCTGGTCTCTCTTTCTTTGATCTCTCTTTCTGGTCACTCTTTCTGGTCTCTCTTTCTGGTCGCTCTTTCTGGTCACTCTTTCTGGTCTCTCTTTCCAGTGGCTCTTTCTGGTCACTCTTTCTGGTCTCTCTATCTGGTCTCTCACCCTCTTTCTGGTCTCTATGGTCTATTTCTCTCTCTCTCTCTCTCTTTCTGGTCTCTTTCTTTCTCTCTGGTCTCGATCTCTGCCCTTCTCTCTCTGTTCTCTCTCTCTGCTCTCTCTTGCTCTGGTCTCTCTCTGAATGGTATCTCATAACAATATACTTTATTATCAACACATGTATATTCTCACCTCCTCTCCTTCCTCGATGTGGTAGTCTTTCCTTGTATTGGGTCCTCCCACAAACATGATGTTGAGCTGACTAAAGTGCCTGAAGTACACACAATATTCCAGTATTTATTCATTATCATGGAAAATATATGAAATATCAAATCTATGGAGAGACTCACATGAGCTTGTTGCAAACCGGAGGATTAAAAGAATTCTTATTTTCCTCGATCCATTTCTCCACATTGACCAGAAGAGAGCTGGCAGTCATGATGGCAGAAGTAGTAGTTTTAGTATGTAGTAGTGATAGTAGTAGTGATAGTAGTAGTAGTAGTCGCATTAGAAAATGTAGTGGTAGTAGTTTTAGCTATAATCGCAGTAGTAGTAGTGGTAGTAAAAGTAATGGTGGTGGCAGTAGCAGTAGTAGTGTTAGCGGTGATAGAAGTAGAAGTTGTAGTAGCAGTAGGAGTAGCAGTGATAGTAGTAGTAGAAGTAGTATTTTTGAGTGTTTTGAGATGAAAGGCTAAAGTCCAAAGGGGGTGTGGCTTTGGATGTGGACTGTGCACTGGACACAGTCACATGAACGAAAGGTAAACAGTGAAGAACATTCTGAGCTCAGGTACGGAAGCCTGCGGGGGACACAAGACCAACACAACTACTCATTCTGGAGAGACTCGAGACAAAGACTGCGTTAGAATGATATGTATTTTAGTTCATGTTTAGTTCTGACTCCTGCTCGTCCCAGAGTCCAGACTAAACATGGGAAGGCAGCATTTCAGTAACATGCAGCTACAATCTCGAACAGTCTTCTTGAAAATGTGAGACAGGCTTCTTCTCTGACAATTTGCAAATCCAGGTTAAAAGCAGTTCTGTTAAGCTGTGCTTACAACTGAGGGATTTTATCTTTATTTTAATTGATTATTTAATTGATTAATGCCTTGTGTGATTGTTTCTATCTCATTCTGTTTAACACTTTGAGTTGCCTTGTGTATGAACTGTGCTATACAGATAAACTTGCCTTGCCTATATATCGGCATGTTTGCATGAACCTATAGATGCATGGTGTGACAGCCAGCTCTGGCAGATGTAAGATGTCACCTACACGACATTTGCATGAGGGATTTTAATAGAGATTAATCACCAGCAGTGGCTTCAGAAGGAAGCCAATGAAGAGGCAGTGATGGGGAGGAGGTGGGTTGCTGCATGATCAGTACACAATACGATACAATACAATACAATACAATACAATACAATACAATACAACTCATTCTTGTATAGCCCTAAATCACAACAGAAGTCATCTCAGAGGACTTAACAAAACCATTGAAATCACCAACACAGGTCAGAGAATCAACAGTTAACACAAACAGAAATAATATAGAACACATGTTGATAAATGTCATACATGTTATCTTCCTGCTGTGGAAGAGAGCAGTCGCTTTGTCTCGGTGCTCCTTTAATCATTTTTATTTACATTTTTATTCCACAAAACACGGATTACTCCTTTTCACAAACTTCAACACAAGACTTGTGGAATTTACTAACTAACAGCATGTCGGGAGGACGGAAAAAGAGGACAAAACTTTGCGACGGCTGTTTTTCACTCAAACAGGAGCTAAAACTTCTTCAAGACCGAATGTTTGTGCTTGAATCAGAATTGGGGCTGAACACAACAATACCAGTGAAGGGAAATGGACCAAATGGACAGAACGTAAGTTATGATGACACTATTTAATTTCCCAAAATCAACAGACAATTGTTGGAACACATATGGTGTCATAATGCCACAGCAACAATCTCATTGACTGCCAGCCCATTTCAGAACAGGTACTTCCATATTGCCAGCCGTTTCTGATGGTTTTTTACTGATTTTTAAAGACCCACAGAATATTGTGTACTATGACTATCTGAAATCCGACACCAGATTCTAAAAGAATGGATTGTCTACTTTCATCAGCAAAAATAATTTTGTTTCTAGCTTGTTTCGTTCCCCTGTAATCCTCCGTTGAGTAGAGGGAAGTTTTACTGAAATCACCAGAAAGTTGAGAAAAAAGAGGCACAACATGTGCATCTAACGGTTTTCAAACCATTCAGAGAGCAATGCTGCCACCTGCTGGCTCGATAAAATATGGTCTCAAGCCATCCCCATACATATTAGATACAATAGACATCTGGGAACGTGAAAATAGCGGGAAAGGCAAAGACATATTAATGCGTCAATGACACACAACGTTACTATTTACTTTGACGTATTTGTGCGTCAATGGCACACAAATTAATTACACGAAACCGCTTTTCACCACTTTTGGAAGATGAATCAGCAGTATCTCAGTCTCAGTCAAGGTCAAATGCAGCTGAGTCGCTCTTTATCGGGGATTCTGCGATAAGACATTTAACATGCGTATTGCGTAATGTGAAAATACACTCAGTGCACTCGGCCAAAGTGGATGAGATAAGACTTGGCTCCAAAGCTTCTGTCTGAGACCGGCGGTGTAGAAAGATTGTTGATCCACGTGGGGGCAGTGGACATCTATGAGAACACAAGTGAAAAGTTGAAACGGGATTATTCTCTCTTATTGGACAACCTTGCAAAAATTGACTTAAAAATTGTTATCAGTGGACCACTACCAAATGTGGACGGGGAGCAAATGAATTTCAGTCGTCTGTATCAGCTAAATACTTTCCCACTCAACGAACGTTCACGCAGAGGACAGAATTTTAATCTGTTCTGGAATAGGCATGATCTTTTTGAAGGGAAAGGGCTACATTTGAACACCTAAGGAGTAACAGTGTTGATGGATAACCTTTCTTTTGCCCTGAGACCTCAGCCTGCGCAGCGCGTGCAGCCATCGAAAGGGAGGAAGAAGCAAAGTGCCTTTCCAGCAACAACACAAACATCTCCACCGACTCCGAAAGTCTCTGCACCTCCACCACTGTTGCGGGGATCTCCCGTCGGGAGCGCGCATTGAGGGAGCGTGCGCGTCATCGTAGCTCACTGCGCGCACGGGTTCAGGTGCTTCTATTTACCTAATTAGAGCGTGCGCTCAGAGAAACTCTATCACATCGTTGCACCAAGCTAGCGTACAACAAAGCCCGTAAAAACAGCCATATAAGACAAGATTCGACCCATACGGACCACTGGTGAGCGTTAATCTGCCCCTGATTGTTTTGTGTAATTATATGTGGCGCGGGGTCGAAATAGCGTGTATATATGCGAGTGTTCTAAATACGGCTTCAAGAGGCGTTCAAGACCGTGCGTAACTTTCGCTACTCACCACGGACTATAAGCAATGGACTTACATATGTTTATTTTGGACTCCTTAAATAGTCTAATTCTATGTTAAAATATTGGACTGCACTAATTGGACCATTATGAAGCAGTTACATTTAAGTTTCTATCATTATTAGCTAAAAATAAATTATATTAAAATAGTTTATAGTATAAAAGTTGATTTAAGTTAGATTTTAAAAGGTTAAAATAGACCAATTATTCTTGTTTAAAAAATTACTAAAGTTTAAAATACCTGTAAAGAATCTATATTCTGTAATGTTAAATGTGAATGTAAAATATCTAAATATTGTTTGCTACAAAATACAGTAAATAAAGTTCATGATAATTTGTTAAAATTCATTATAATGAGATCTTTAGTTAAAAACAATTGATTTTGAAACCCATTTAGATAAGTGTGCATTTAAAATAGCAAATAGCCTTTAACAGTAAAAAGCACTTAAAATAGTGATGTTAAAATTGAGTTAAAATATATTTAAAAATCCCTAAAACGTTTTCTATTTCTAATCATATGAACACTTTCTGTTTAAAGGTTTTCGCCTGCTGTTTGTTCAATAAACTGAGTGAAACCGGCCTAAGGTGGTGTCAGAGTCCTTCCTTGTCAAGTGGGGAAAGCTGTATGGTTCGGGGTGCACTTGTAACCTCCTCGAAGGATCTCAACACCTCCACTGTCATCAGGAGCAGCTGCATCATCACCAGCAGCAGCTGCATCATCACCAGTAGCAGCACCAGCAGCACGACCACCAACATCCTCTTCCCCAGCCTGCTCCGAAGCAGTCACGCCTTCTTCATCTACAGCGCCTCTGAAGCCCCCATCCTCACCCCAGGCTACAGCAGACAGGCCTGTGCTGGGGTTTCCTCAACCACCTGCCCCTCCATCGAAGACTCCTTTGCCACCTCCCATGGACCTGTCTTGGGTCCCCCCTGCCACGTCCACTCCATCAAGAGAGAATGGGGACACCTCCCTTTGTTTTTCATCCCCGCCTTCACTGTTAGACCTACCTGAACACTCTGCAGGGCTAATAAAATCGGCGATGAAGACTATTCCTCTCACTCCCATATTAGCTAGATCTAGAGTACTGTCCAACATTCTAAACCACTCCCCATATGTACCTCCAAAACCACCTAGGGTTTCCAATTCAGCTACAAAAACCACCTCAGCCAGTCCCTCCCCAAACCTCATGACCATTCCACCCCCACTTCCCCCTCGTTCAACACCCAAAACTTCTGCCTCAGCCCACCCCGCCCCTAACCCATCACCAAAAACCCCTCCACCTCCCCGCCCCGCCCCCCTCGTCAACACCAAAAAGCCACCCACCTCTCCATCCTCCTCCCCTGCCTTCCCCTTCCCCTCTTTTCTCTAAACACTAGGATGCACAGTGTCTCTGCTTCGCAGCCACTGGCATCTAGTTAGAGGAGAGACCCGGCTGGGGCCCTGTCATAAAGCCACCTGTGCCATTCCCTTAGTGATAACACAAAGAATACACAACAGAAAGACATCTGGAGTTAATCAGTCTAATCTGGAAAATCTAATTCTTGTTCCGTGTAAGAATCAGCCGACCACAACCGCTGATCCTGACACTTTGAAACTTGCTATGCTTAATGTCAGATCTCTTTGTAACAAGTCTTTTTTTAATAAATAATTTTATTTGTTCTCATAATCTTGATCTTATGTTCATGGCTGAAACATGGCTTGACCAAAATTCAGGAAATGCAGTTTTAATTGAAGCATCACCACCAAATTTCAAATTTGAATCTGAAATACGGGAAAACAAAAAAGGAGGAGGCTTAGCTGCCATTTTTAGAGACCACTTTGTCTCCCATAGAATGTCTCTTGGGAAGTTTCCGTCATTTGAATATGTGTCTTTTAAAATACAACAAAAACAATCTCCAATACTCTTCATTGGTCTATACAAGCCACCGCAGTCATGTCACAGTTTAATTGATAATTTTACTGAGTTGCTTTCAGTTTTATGCACAGATTTCGATATTTTGGTTATTACAGGTGATTTTAATATTCATGTGGATAATGTTAATGACAGAAATGCAAAAGAGCTGAGTTCTGTTCTTGAATCCTTTGGTCTCACTCAGCACGTGAGTGGCCCCACCCACAGCAGAGGGAACACTCTAGACCTGTTAGTTACTAAGGGGGAGAATATTTCGATGTTGCTCTTTCGGATCATTTCTGGTTTTTTTGACATGTGTTTCACTAACAAACCACCAGTGGACGCAGTTGCAGTTGTTCGAAGAAGGCGCATAAATGAAAATACGAGTGAACTATTTTAGGGAATGATAAACTTTGAGAATGCATCGTGTTCTACTGTAGATGAACTGTAACTCTGTCACCTCTGTGTTTTGAATGTTCTGGATACCGTTGCCCCTGTGAAGGTTAAAATAGTGAAAAATAAGCAGAAGGCGCCGTGGGCTAAAGCAGACTCGGTCAGGGCACAAAAGAGAAAGTGCCGGAGTGCCAAGCGGAAGTGGCGCAAGTCCAACCTCCAGGTTGATTACGAGATCTTCAAAGATAAGTTGTGCGAGTTTAACCGGGTCCTACGTAGTACGAGAGAAAGGTATTTTTCTGAAATGATTGAAGGCTGCAGTAACAATCTGCGTGTTCTGTTCTCAGAACACGCTTAACAAACCCCCCTGTTCAGATGCCATTAGAGCTAACTTCCAAACGTAAATGCAATGAGTTTGCAAATTCAATGCAAGGTTCAAGGCATCAAAAACGCCATTGTCTCCAATCCACAGATAACAATCCAACAGCCAGAAAGGCTCTTTGAGCTAACTCACTTTGCACCTGTAGATGATAAAAATGTCCAAGAGATAATTTCCAGTCTGAGCTTCTCCACATGCAGCCTGGATATACTACCCACTAGATTTCTGAAGTCTGTTCCGAGCAGTCTGTTACCTTCACTCACACAGAAACATGTCCCTTCATTCTGGAATATTCCCAAAGGCCCTAAAACTACAGTCATCAGGCCCCTGCTAAAAAAGAGCAGTCTGGATGCAACGGTATACTGAACAACTATCGTCCCATCTCAAATCTGCCATTTATGGGGAAAGTCCTTGAAAAACTTGTCCACCTACAGCTTACTAGATTTCCGAAGTGCCTCCGAAGACATCATTTTTGCTCCATATATGGTAAAACCGGAGAGAAGGGTCTGGGTCTGGGCTGGTCCGGTCTCATCTCCTGTCCTGAAGACTCCCTCTCTGAAAAGAACCCTCCAAGGCAATCCATTGTCCATTGTCTTGCACTCAACTCACTGAACTCAGGCTAATATGACAACACGTCATATAAAACATTTCATGATTAGGAAAACATGATTGTTCTTGTATTGACGTGTGCTGTATTTAAAATCTTTCACAAGACACAGACACAGGTACAACTAGTACTTCATTATCATTGGACTTATTTTAAATGTTTATCTTATTATTTTCTACAGCACATAGTGGTCCGTTTGGGATGTATCCTGGTCTTCAATAAATAAAGTGGAAAGTGTATTTTCAATTGAAGAAAATAACTCTCTGAATAGATCTGTTCCCGGTTCCCTCTCAGTTTAGTCTATAACTGTGAGGAGCACAGGGACTGGCCTCCTGCTGGGACTCTGAGGATCACAGGGACTGGCCTCCTGCTGGGACTCCGAGGATCACAGGGACTGGCCTCCTGCTGGGACTCCTAGGATCACAGGGACTGGCCTCCTGCTGGGACTCCTAGGATCACAGGGTGCAGGACACTTTCTTAACTGTAACACGGCTTTCCACAAAAATGTACCTTCATTATCATCCCTTTAACTTTTCTCCTGTTTCTGTTTTTGATTTTAGCTTTAGAATGAACTTCAAACACTTTTATACTGTCGGCCCCTGAGGACCTGTAATTGTTAATAGTAGTTTAACATAGTTTGACCTCCCTGCTAGTGCAAACTACACAACAACAGTCTCCCTTCACAGTACTGACCTGACCTTGAGCCTCTGAGGTCTGACAGTATCAGGCTTTCACCTGCAGGTGGTGCTATAATACAGCAAACTCATACAGTATTCTTAGAGAAGGGGACTCCATCCTCCATCCTGAAGAGCTGCTACTGTATATCAGAACAATTAGTTCTTCCTTTGGCAGGTGAAAAAACCTTGACATGTCGAAGCAAGCAAGGATATTTTAAAATTAAATACTCCAAGTCAGGGGTCCCTGGCCACTTTCGCTGTTTTGAATTGATTTGGCTATGTCTGAGCTTTAAAATGGGTACAATATTCATATTGATTTATATACACTACCGTTCAAAAGTTTGGGGTTACATTGAAATGTCCTTATTTTTGAAGGAAAATAACTGTACTTTTCAATGAAGATAACTTCAAACTAGTCTTAACTGTAAAGAAATACACTCTATACATTGCTTATGTGGTAAATGACTATTCTAGCTGCAAATGTCTGGTTTTTGGTGCAATGTCGTAATTGCTGCAAATGGAGGATTCTTTGACAAAAGCAAAGTTTGATGTAAAAAAAATCTTATTTCAAATACAAATCATTATTTCTAACCTTGTCAATGTCTTGACTCAATTTTCTATTCATTTCACAACGTATGGTGGTGAATAAGTGTGACTTTTCATGGAAAACACTTGGGTGACCCCAAACTTTTTAACGGTAGTGTATATCAGGGCTGATGTTTACTATTTTCTCACCACAGCTATATTAGCACACTGTCTATGCAGGGGCCGATGGTCACTGCATAAATAGTGTCCATCGGCCCCTCCAACTTCCACCAACCCAACCATTTACGCACACATGAGACACATCTTAAGCAAAGCGGGTGAAGTGTCTTGCCTGACGACTCAATGACAGTTTGCCATTTTTCAGGCGCAGCCGCCCCACGGTGTTCCCAGTGTTCTCTCATAACCAGGCCCTGTCCTGCACAGCTTCAGTGGTCTGACAGGATCTGGCTTTCACCTGCAAGTATGGCCACATGAGAAGAAGAAGAAAGAGGAGAGAGAGGCGGAGAGAGATTAGGTTATTGGAAAGTAAATATATATTCATTTATATATTCACAGACCAGTTACACACAGTGGTTTAAAATTGTGGCCATTTGTCTCCCACTCCACATAGGGAGAGGGGTCGCCAGAACAGGAGGCACATGTCAGACCTGTTCTGACCAGGATTTGAACCCTGTACCTTATTGCTGATAAGCAAGAGTGCTATCCACTCAACCACTGTACCGCCCCACGATGGCTGACTTAGCTCGATAAATAGTGACATATAATTTGTGTGGCACTAAAATAGATCTGGCGTTTCCCAAAATCACTTAGTAAAGAGCAAATTGTAAATATTTGTCTAATGAAAATGTTTTTTTTTCAAATAAACAATTCCTATATAGATTTGGCCAACAAAAAAGTCAATAATGTTAACAAAGTCAAAAAATACAAAAAAGGTGGTACTGAAGTTGTGTGTCTATGATCTCAAAGACTGCACATGAGGTTAGCAAGAGGACGAGAGGAGAGACAAAGGGAGGATAAAGATTTTATGAAAGAATTTTCTCAAGAATTTTCCCCTTAAAATGACACAGAGGACCACATTTAGCCCGCGGGCCTTGGTTTTGACATACTTGCTCTCAGTGTTTGACATGGTAATAATACGGTAATATTAAATCTGACTTTTAGTTTTTATCAGCAATAATTGTCTGTACAAGAAACATATTTTAAAGTCTTTTTGATTTCTCCTTTTTTCCACAGTAGTCACGTGATTCCCGGCCTCGCAGCCTCTTGCAAATGGTCGCTGCTGTTTCTTGCTGCTGCTAACGCGTGCTAAAACCCCTCTGTTTTCTGTCCAAAACGCCGCTCTGGACCTCTCCACCACCCTTTACCCCATATTTCAACGCGTCGGCCGTGCACACAGACCTAGATATGCGTGTTAATTCGGGGGTACAAGCTGAGATTTCGCGTTACAAGAAGTAATTCCGCTTCATGGTGTGTGCAGAGTGCCCCCATTGTCGAGTCTAGACTGCGTTAGCTTAGCTGTTAGCTTCGCCCCGTCACCGAGCGGACTTCCTTTCATTTTTCTTTTCTACACGTGTGAAGCAGATAAAACAGCGAAAGCCTGTCTGCGTGCCATGAGAGAAATGTCCAGGTAAGCCGTACACCCCATACTCTTCTGTTGTTTTTGCAATTTTGCTAACATTTCAGGATAGCCGCAAAGAATAGGCTAATGATGCTAATGCTATGCTAACACTATGCTAACTGTCACAACAACTCCAAACCAGGCCCGCAGTTAGACGCGTTTTGCAGTGAAATTTTGCGTATTTCTGCATTCTAACATCATTAAGTTGCCGTATACATATGTTAATTACACAAGCACGTATGCAATGTGTATTAAATTAATATGTTTTTGAAGTAATGTCATTTTAAGCGACGCGTTTGGAAATTAGCTTCAGTTTGTCGCCGCTTTATGCTTTGAAACTGCTTTTTTCCCAGACATTTTCTTATTTATATCCACATTAAACAGTATTTCACTCACGCTTTGGTTCTAACGTGACACATGTGACGGTATGACACAATATGAACTTGCTGACAACCTTGTTTAGAGCTAGTTTTTGAATTGGCGGTAATATTAAAGCATCAGGTTGTAGTCGCTGCATTCCTCGCATTGTTTGCCTGTAAACATTGATTGAACCGATTATACTTCTTACACACAATCTATTATAAGTCATTGCACGAGTTTACCTCTATGGTTCTATGTCTTTTACAGTTATTTACTGAATTAAAATGGTTACTTTTATCCATTCATGCAGTTCAAATACTTTGTGCTGTAATTAAATAATGGTTGAAATTATAGTAGGTAACACTTAAAATTAGCCCTCACTAACAGCTAAGTGTTTATATTAGATGTACTTATGTTTTTATACAGATGTTTTTTCTGCTGCTGGACATCAATAAAGGGGACCATAAAGTATATATATCAATTAAGTGATAATAAGTGTGCCTTAACCCTCACCCACATGTCAGAAAATGTCGGTTACTAGTTGAATGTCGAATAAGGGCTAATAAGTGCTAAATAAGTATCCATAAACTTACTAATTAACACTTAATTGGCAATCATTTAGTGAGGGCTAAACTAAAGTGGAACCCTTTTATTTCTCTCCCAAAATAAGAACATAAGATTTCAACACTTGCTTAAGATGTTGATAGTGTAGTAAAAATGTGGGTAAAACAAATGCATAATTTTTTTCAGATAATGTTAAGCAGTAATATAACAGGTCCGCTGAATATGCAGGTCATATAGGACAGTTCTTTGGACAATGCATTGGTGTGTGGCATGGTATCTTTGCGTATATTGGGAAATTGGCATGTGCAGTGATGTGGTCGCTGTATCGGCCTGTTGTGAAGAGGGAGCAGTGTATGCAGTCCGAGCTCAGTCCCCCCGCACACCTTTGAGTAATGACAGAAAGAACGAGATCGCGGATACAAGCGGTCCTCATGCGTTTCATCGTGAGTGGATCTCCCTTTACAGATAGAGGAGCTCTGTCACATGGGAGGAGCTCGGAGTTGAGTCGCTGATCCTCCACATGGAGAGGAGCCAGTTCAGGTGGCTCGGGCATCTGTTTGGGAGGCCTCCTGGAAGTCTCTATTGGGAGGTGTTCAAGGGCATGTCCCACTGGGAGGGGAAGACCCAGAACACAGAGGGTCTCACAGCTGGGAACACCTCAGGATTCCCCCAGATGAGGTGGAGGAAGTGTGTGTGGAGAAAGAAGTCTGAATGTCTCTCCCTCTCTGACCCGGCAACTGATAAAGTAGAGGAAAATAAATAGATGCATTGTAAAAGTTCTGTTGGAGAATAATAGTTTTAATAGAGATACAAAGGTACACTGTAGTCAAGATTTGCTGCGTATGCCGATCTGAAAATGAAATTATTTTGAAATTTATTTCTTGGCCCAGAGCAAAAACAATGAAACCAACTAAGAGCTGCAATACAATCAAAGTGTGAGTTTATTCATTAGTAAATGAAAAACAGTACCACGTCACCAATACCACCTGGCAGCCGTCTGAAACCGTCTGCCCTGAATGAGGAAATTACTGGACATTAAATAGACCAAAGTAAACAATTATCTACTCTAGATATTAAACAAATGAAGTCAGTATTGTTTTGTGTCGCTCAAGGCTTCTCTTTGCGCTTCCTCACGCTGATACAACGCTGATACATCTCTGATATGTAATGATCTGCTTTGACCTGTACACATTGGGCCTCATTCACGAACGGTTCTTAGGAACAGATTTGTACGTAAATCCTACTTACGCGGTTTTTACGAAGAAAGTGGCATTCACGAATATTTCTCGTAACCAGAATTTCTCTTGGGCAAGTACAAATCCTACGAGTCCTCAGGAGCACTCGTACGCATTCAGTGCCGACATGTTCACACGCCGGGGTTGTCCTCTTTGGTGAAGTTGAATAAAAATACAACATTCCAGTGATATGTCCGTCATATCGATGTATGTATTTATTTATTTGTAGTAATCTTTATTAGTAATCTTTATTTATATACCGCCTTTTTCACTGCAGATCTGGCCTACTTTTTAATTCATTTTGAAATGAAATGTGCCAACGCTTTATCAAATACATTGGAAATCTTGCCGTGTATTAGTGACCCCCTTCCTATTTATAGGGGGCATTTCTTTATCCACGGGCCACAGAACAACGGCATATATACTGCTGCTGCAGGAGGTTACTGGGTCCGCGCTGAGTCTCTGCGCTGGTCTCTCCTATGGATCTATACGGGTCTGCACTGGTCTCTCCCATATACGGGTCTGCACTGGTCTCTCCCATGGATCTAGACGGGTCTGCACTGGTCTCTCCCATATACTGGTCTGCACTGGTCTCTCCCATGGATCTAGACGGGTCTGCACTGGTCTCTCCCATGGATCTATACGGGTCTGCACTGGTCTCTCCCATATACGGGTCTGCACTGGTCTCTCTCCATACGGGTCCGTGCTGCATGCTCCTGGATCCATACGGGTCCGCGCTGGTCTCTCAAGTCTGGTCTATGCGGTCTATCTTCGGTCCGCGCTGGTCTCTGCGCACCTGTCTCTCCAGTCAGGTCTCTCAGTCTATGCAGTCTCTCCTATAGGTCCGCGCTGGTTTCTGTGTGCTGTCACTCCAGTCTCTCCTTGGGTCTGCATTGGTCTCAGCGCTGGTCCGCGCTGGATCTCCTCCCAGGGTCCAAAATATTTTGAGATTAATCTCAAAACATTTTGAGATTCATCTTTAAAATAATACATAATATATTTTTAAATTAAGCTCATGACATTTTGAGATTAATCTCATCATATTCTTAGATTAATCTCATAATTTTGCTAGTTCGACTTTATTATCATAATATTTCGACTTTTAAGTCAACATTTTATAACTTTATTCTCAGTCTGGTAAAAGAAGAAAAAAGGGTGACTCTTTTGCTCCGTGTAACTCTTTGCTTTAGGCCTGTTGCTGCAGGGCCGTCTGCACACGGCCCTGCAGTCCCTTATATGGGCATTAATGGGCGGTTACTTATGCTAAGTACCTATGCTAATGAAGCACCTGGCACGCGCGCTGTACTTACGAGGAAATGGGATTCATCAATCTGAGAGAACAGCTGCGAACAATTCAGCGGCTTACGAGTGCGTTGATGAATCCCACGTGGGGACTTCTTAGAAATCTACTTAAGGACAACTTGAGAAGAAAGTTGAGTAGTTTCTTACGAAGTTATTCGTGAATGAGGCCCATTGTTCTTACTTCTTAGACACAAATATTGCCAAAAACATTCTGAAACGTATCTCATCTGACCTTACTGCAAACAGATTGTATGTTCTTTTTTTGGATAAAGAGTTGAGGATTAGTGAATAACTTAGTTTTATCTATACAATGTTAATTTACCCTTAAGATTTCTCTAACCACAAAATTAAAACAAATTCAAGATGCATTTTTATCCAATAAACATAATACAGTCTGGAGTATTGTTTAGGTGTCCTCTGTCCACACACTACAGAATCATTTATTCCCAAACATACAGATAAAGTTTGGACACATGTTTGCAAGCCGCCCTTGGGATAAACGCTTTTTTTGTGTTGATTACTCCTCATTGCTTTGCTACTGTTGCCAGGCATGTCCAAACTAATGTGGCCCTCTGCCGCTAACACACAGTAGCCTTTGAGATAAACACAGTTCACAGTGTCATCCAGCCAACTTCAGAGACTTACCCTTGCTTTTAATTGTGTCACAAAATTCCATATACAACTCTAATGTAGCTGCGGTGGTGATATTTGACACTGCTAATCTTCAGTTCTGTCAAATGTGACTCAATGTAGTCACACCATTTTTAAAGAACTGCCCAGTGGCTCAGTTGATCATTGGCCTTTGAGCCTGTAGGTTGTTGCTGTCTGCTGTCGTTGTGTACATGGGCAAGACACTTGATCCTGCTTTGCCTATAAAGAGCGTGGAAGTATCAGCACGCTGCATGTCTTGATGTGATATGTGTTTATGACTATTCATTGAACCAAATTTCTCCATTGTGGGATCAATAGAGTACATCATCTTCTAAATACATTCAAACCTGTGTGTGGTCGGCTCCTGGACAAGTCTGTTAACTTTAAGTAAAACAGCTGCAGTATATTCAAAACTCTGCAGCTCGAGTCCTGACTAGAACCAGGAAGTACGATCACACTAGTCCTGGTCTCAGGTCTCTCCACTGGCTTCTGTGACTCAGAGATTAGACTTTAAAGAAGATATAGCTGAAGGGTTGTATCTTTACTTTTATTATGTGCTGTGATTATTCATGATTTCAATGTCTTGTTCCTATGAACTGGACTATACATGTTAGGAATAGATTCTTTATTCGTCCCACAGTGTTGCACCACAAGTTACAGAGCAGTGGGAATGTGGAGCATACAAGATAAGTAGATATGAAGTATAGCACTACTCTATACTAAAATGGCTCAAATATGTTTTATGTTATTTTTTGTATGTAAAGAAGAGAGTTCTGAAGATATCCAGTGTCATCTTTGTGTTTCTGTGTTTTCTCTTCTTGCTACATTTTATTTCAACCGTTTTACAATATGGGACATGCATACAAATCTGATTAATGCATTATATTTTTAGTTGTCTTTAGATTTTATGCCTTTTAGCTTGTTGCGATGAATTATTATGAGATAAATTATATTTACTGCACCGGACCTGTCCACGTTCAGCGGCCACTGGTCCACGTTCTGTAGCTAGCGTAGGTCCTAGATCATTAGCCTGTCCGTCCGGAGGAGCGGAGCCCTTTCTCAAATGGGTCTCCCTCCCTGTGGGTTTCCCTAGTTCTCCCCAAGGTTTCTCACTTTTTCCCACTGGGTTTTTTAAGAGTTGTTCCTTGTCGATGCAGGAGGGTCTTTTTGGACAGTTAGTGTCCAACAGAAAAGATTGGTGATGATCAGGACACTTTAGCATTCTACAACATTCTGTGTGTGCTTTATATTCTTCATGTGTTTTAACTGTTGATTCTCTGATCTGTGTTGGTGATTTCAATGGTTTTGTTAAGTCCTCTGAGATGACTTCTGTTGTGACCTAGGGCTATACAAGAATAAATTGTATTGTATTGTATTGTATTATATCATAGCAATCAGGAAGTTGCAAACATTCATTGGGCAAACATTCTCCTCAAACGATGGCTTAAATCTCTTGTGATATAGTTTGTTCTTTGCTAAAGCCTCCTGTGTGTCTGCAGCTCTGTGCCGAGTGGGCAGCAGCCTCCCAAACACTATGGCATCACCTCTGCCATCAGCCTGGCTCCTCCTCGGGACATAGACCACCAGTACACCCAGAAACTGTGCGACGCCATGAAGCCCTTTGGAGTGTTCGAGGACGAGGAGGAGCTCAACCACAGGTGACCTCAGTTCAGCACAGCTACTCTCCCTCTCTCTGGTCTCTCTCTCTGGTCTCTCTCTCTGGTCTCTCTCTCTGGTCTCTCTCTCTGGTCTCTTACCATCAGTGTTAAATCCTCCTCTTGTCTCTTCCGCAGACTCGCCGTTCTTGGGAAACTAAATAATTTTGTGAAAGAATGGATCGCGGAGATCAGTGAAGCAAAGGTGTGTTTTTGATCCAGTTTATTAATCATCAAAGTTGACTTTTTTCACAACTATATACATTGTTGTTTGTTTTGTCCACCTGTTGCAGAATCTCCCGCCTTCTGCCATCAGTTGTGTTGGGGGAAAAATCTTCACGTTTGGTTCCTATCGCCTCGGGGTCCACACTAAAGGTACGAGCACCATCCTCAGTTTCTGCTGGGATTTTGGAAACAATTTTAAGGCTTTAACAACCAGAGACTTCACACTTGTTTACTTGCTCCCAGTGCTGCACATTATTACATAAAACATTACACTTTGGACCTCCTGGTTTCTCAGGGTATAAACAATATATGTGATGTCTGTCTTATAACAAACGGTGCTTTTTGATAAACAAAAAAATAAATTAAATAAATTGAGTATTGTTGTAGTGTTTCTCGCATGTTGCTGTCTCTCTCTGTCGCTATCACTCACTCTCTCTATCTGTGTGTCTTTTTCCTGTCTCTCCCTCTCCTAGTCTTGCCCTCTCTCCCACTTTCTCTCTCTGTGTGTCCTCTGTGTGTGCGTGCGTGTGTGTGTTCTCTCGTCTCGCTCTTTGTGTGTGCGTGTGTGTGTGTGTGTCCTCTCTCTCTCTGGGCGTACACACACACATGTCCTCTCAGCTGAGGTGTAGTTCATATTGTTGTGAAGCGAGAGGCCTACTCCTGCTTTTGTGACGTTTGAAAACCGCAGCTGAATGTTTGTAAACTGGAGCTTCTTTCTGTTAAATTCAGCCTAATGCTTCTGTTACTCTTTGTGCTAAGGTCAAATGGCAGAATTTTTTTTTCAACGACACTAAACAACGACACAAAGGAAATGCTTTAACCTTTATGTGTCAAATTTCTCCACTTCATATTGTTGATAATGAAAGTTGTTAATTCATTTTATGCAGCACTTTTCTGGTCTCTCCAAGACGCTTCTATTCTGTGGTGATAAATGTGAGGCGCCATGACATACTGTAACGTCCGGACGAGCTCTTTGATACCTGTGGCTATTATGTGTATTTTGAATGTGTTAGAGTTGGGCTGGTGTCAGAGCAGAGCTAACTGTGAATGAGTCGTGGAAGCTAACGGTGAGCTAAAGTGCGCCTTTATTGTCCAGAAAGTACGGTAATTTCATAGTCGTTAGGTATGTAATCTTTTTTTTATATTGCGCCTTTCACAGACCAGTCACAAAGCACTTAGTTGTTGTAGGCATTTGTCTCTCACTCCACACAGAGATGGAGCAGGATCGCACATGTTTTAGTGGTAGTGGAAACTTATGCAGACACGGGGAGAACATGCAAACTTATGCGAAAGTCCTGGAGGTGGACCTTCTTGCTGTCTTTCCTGTTTTTCTTGTTGAGTGTCGATGGTGAGTTTCGTTAAATTTGCCAGAAGCTCAGGGTTGTCGAACTCTGTGCGTTACTCGCTGAATTAACCAGGTCTCCTTTGACTTTGCGTGTAAACCCGGCACCTGACGGCCGCAGGTGAATGTGGCTGTCGTGTGCTCACCAACATTTCACCACAATCTGCATAAGTCATTACTTACTTAGGAGATGACGCAGGTTTTTTCATCTTTCAATGGATTTGTGTACAGCCGTAAATCGCAAAAGCAGGACGGCTCGATCCGCTTGAACACAAATACAATAACACACACATGGAAGGCATTGGTCCATAGGAAGCAGGATAATGTTCCGGATCATCACTGTCCTTAGAGCCTTTTGGATCAGAGAGGAACCACTCAAAACAAAACAGTGGGAAAAGGTGAGAAACCTCAGGGAGGCACCTATTTCTGTCCAGGTACAATTTGCAGATTAGTTCAGGAGCTTTCTTTCACCTGGAGCTGAAAGCCAGATTCTGTCAGACCTTTTGAAGCTAAGTAGGGTAGGGCTTGGTTAGTGCTGTGATGGGAGACCTCTGGGAACACCAGGTGCCATAGTGAGGTGGCTGTGGCCCACATTAGAATGAGTCTCTTTTGTGTGTCACTGGTTGGTGGTGGGAGTGGGCTGATGGGGCAGAATGGTTGCCTTGCTTTTGTCAGTGTGCCCCAGGGCAGCTGTGGCTACAGTAGTAGTTTATCACCACCGTGTATGGAGTGAATGAATAATTACATTTGAAGCGTCTTTGAGCGTCCAGTAAAACATTGTGAAAAACAGATTTATTATTTTTATTTTAGGATTGACTGGAGAGTGTTTGCGTTTCAGGAGCTGACATAGACGCATTGTGTGTGGCTCCGCGTCACGTAGAGAGGACAGACTTTTTCCTCTCGTTTATGGAGAAACTGAAGCAGCTCGAGGAAATCAAAGACCTGCGGGTGAGTCTGGAGTCTGCGGGGAGCACAGTGTTGAAGAATACAAACTGGTAGAACCTTTTTAGAGCCTGTGAAACCAGCATTAAACAGTAGTTTGTCCAATCAGGCATCAGGACCAGAGCTTGGTTTTAGCTTCTCCACACAAAGGCACCAATCCATGGAAGCTCAAGATCTCTCATTAAAATCAAAGTCTGCTCGCAGTGTAGACCAGAACATTAGCAGAAGTATCACATTTTGGGTCATCTCTCGGTGTCCCAGTCTTGTGCATCAGGTGCACACAAATATAATACTGGGTTTTGACTTGTCAGACTGTTTTGGACTGAACCCTGTCTGCTTTGGGTCCACGCACTGCTCTTGCGTCTTACTGTTGATTTACACAGGAGTCGTTACAGCACGTAGGCGTTGTACGTGCAGCAGACGTGCGTAACGTTTTTCCATGTTAACCTATGGTGATATTTACACTAATAGTCTTATAGTACGATGCAAGGCTGCGCTAAAATTTGGATGTGCGCCAGACCAGCGTACATACAGCGGCGTAATGTTATCTCAAGGAATTTGTCACTAATCCAATGGAGTTGTCACTAATCCAATGGAGTAACTGAAAGAGTCGCTGCAGCCCTAAATCGGAACGTTCATCGGCCTTATCCTTTAATGATAATCTAATCTATCGCCTGGATTGCTCTGGAGCAGATTTAATGATGAGGGAAAGTACTAGAACATGGACAGATTATGTGAGAAGTAAATATTTGTGTGTTGTCTTTCAGGCTGTTGAAGATGCTTTTGTTCCCGTCATAAAGTTTAAATTTGATGGAATCGAGGTGAGCTCTGCTTTCTACCTGGCTCCATGTGTCGTCGTTTGTTTCTCACAAATTTCTCTTTTTCTCTCTCTCCCCCTCTGTCTCTCTATCCCTCTCGTTTTTTTTTTTTCTTTCTTTTTGTCTCTTTCTCTCCCTCACTCTCACCATCCTTCTCTCTGTCTTTCTCTCTCTACGCATCTGTCTCTTTCACTCCCCCGTCTCTATCCCCCCTCTCTCTCTCTATGCATCTCTATCTCTCTCTCTCTCTCTGTCTGTCCGTCTGTCCCCTCCTTCTCTCTCTCTCTCTCTGTGTGTCTCTTTCCCCTCCTTCTCTGTCTGTCTTTCCCCTCCTTCTCGTCTCTCAGATCGATCTGCTGTTTGCTCGGCTCGCTCTTCAGTCCATCCCTGATAACCTGGACCTCAGAGGAGACTCTATCCTCCGAAACCTCGACATCAGATGCATCCGCAGCCTCAACGGTAAAAACGACATAGACAAGACAATATTTACATCAGTTTTTCAGTGTAGTTCCTTCTGTGTCCAGTAGAGTGCGTTATCCTCACACTTTCTTTCTCACTCTCTGCTTTCTCTTCACAGGCTGCAGAGTCACTGATGAAATCCTGTATCTCGTGCCAAACAAAGAGAACTTCAGGCTCACGCTGAGAGCCATTAAACTGTGGGCGAAACGTGAGTCTCTGTTATCTCCAGACTGCTTTAGTTTAGGCCTGGTTCAGTCATGCTGGTGATAAATGCTTAGATCTGGCTACTTTTCATCTCAAAGAAGAAATATAACGTATTGTATTTGGCCATTGAGTTATAGTGGACTATTTACTTAAAAATGGCCTGTAACTCCCCATACTGCCACCAGAGGGAGCTGCAAACATACAGTGCCGAGACTAATTTGGGGGGAATCATTTTGGTTTAGTGTGCAATGACGTCATACTGTTGCAGGACTGAGACGGGAGCTTTTAGACAAGGGACGGGGCTACATGTGATATTGGCGTGGATCTAGCTAAACACAACGCCAGGTCTGTGACTGGGGAACAATGTTGGTACATGAAATAAGTCCTTAAGTATATAAGTCTAGTCCTTGTCCTTGTCCTAGTCCTAGTCGGGTCCACGTCTGGTCCTTGTCGGGTCCACGTCTGGTCCTTGTCGGGTCCACGTCTGGTCCTTGTCGGGTCCACGTCTGGTCCTTGTCGGGTCCACGTCTGGTCCTTGTCGGGTCCACGTCTGGTCCTCGTTGGGTCCTCGTCGGGTCCTCGTCGGGTCCTCGTCGGGTCCTCGTCGGGTCCTCGTCTGGTCCTCGTCGGGTCCTCGTCGGGTCCTCGTCGGGTCCTCGTCGGGTCCTCGTCGGGTCCTCGTCGGGTCCTCGTCGGGTCCTCGTCGGGTCCTCGTCGGGTCCACGTCTGGTCCTTGTCGGGTCCACGTCTGGTCCTTGTCGGGTCTACGTCTGGTCCTTGTCGGGTCCACGTCTGGTCCTTGTCGGGTCCACGTCTGGTCCTTGTCGGGTCCACGTCTGGTCCTTGTCGGGTCCTCGTCGGGTCCTCGTCGGCTCCTCGTCGGGTCCTCGTCGGGTCCTCGTCTGGTCCTCGTTGGGTCCTCGTCTGGTCCTTGTCGGGTCCTTGTCGGGTCCTTGTCGGGTCCTCGTCTGGTCCTTGTCGGGTCCTCGTCTGGTCCTTGTCGGGTCCTCGTCCGTTCCTTGTCCGGTCCTTGTCCGGTCCTCGTCTGGTCCTTGCACTTGTCCAGTCTCAGTCCAGTCTCAGTCCAGTCTCAGTCCAGTCTCAGTCCAGTCTCAGTCCAGTCTCAGTTACAGTAGTAGTAGTTCATAGAGGAAAACTATTGTATTTGAATGCTTATGTGAGCTGGTCCTCAGTCCTCAGTCCTTAGTCCTTAGTCCTCTGGTCTCTGGTCTTGCAGGGCGGGGCATCTACTCCAACATGCTGGGGTTCCTGGGAGGAGTGTCGTGGGCGATGCTTGTGGCCAGGACCTGCCAGCTTTACCCCAACGCTGTGGCGGCGACACTCGTCCACAAATTCTTCCTCGTCTTTTCAAAATGGTGAGAGAAACTTCATCTGCTTTTGCACATTGCAGAAATTGAAATAACTGAGTCGTGAGGCCGGTCTGGTTTTTCTCTGAACTCTTAAATGGTAGATAATAGACTTTGTGTTATAAATATTTTGTCTCTGTTGTGCTTGACCGTGTGTCTCTCCCCTCAGTAATTTTTCCTTGTTATGTTTTCTTCTGTTCTAACAAGAATATGGTGTTTCTGTGCTCGTTCGCAGGGAGTGGCCGAACCCTGTGCTCTTGAAACAGCCCGAGGACAGTAATCTGAATTTACCCGTGTGGGACCCTCGAGTGAGTACTTTCACAGTAATAATCGCTAACTTTACTCAAAGAGCCACTTTTCCTCTCTCTATAAAGTCTGTGGTTGTGTTGTTTAAAGCCTGTACATGCGCTGTATTCCCCTGGTGTCACAATAAACTCTCCAGCGCCCTCTTGTGGTCATTCCCTAAGCATCAACAGTCGAGTTCTATAATCTGTAGTGTTGTTAATGTGGAAATTAAAGACATTGAAGTAAATGTCCCTTGTTTGATTTGTTTGCATTCAGACTTTTACTTTTTGTACTTGTTTTTGACCAGATCTCCCAGACCTAAAATCAGAATACTTTGAATTCAATAAAACCTGTTTTCTTGCATATGAAAGTCCTGGTTCACTCTGTTAAAGCTGGGGTATGTAACTTAGGGCAAAATACATGTTATTTATGAAACATTAACAGAAACTGTTGTGTTAAAGTTGTCCAGGACTCCCTTGAAAAATGAAAGTTAAACAAATAAATAAAAGGTTTCTGTCTTCACCTTGTTAGAAAACCTGTTATCTTTAGAGTATCACTATTTGACTTCTTTGGGCTGAGAGCGAGGGTGGTTCTCATTTTGTCACTTTACTGTCTGAACAAGCTGATCTAAAGATGTGTCAAACACATAAAAACAAGTTAAAGGAGAAAAATGTCGAAAAAAACTTCTAGAGCTAGAATCTGGAGAAGTGGATTTTAATAAATAGTTCCCTTGTTCTGGGTTGAAAAGTTACATACCCCAGCTTTATTTTTAAGTATCTCAAAATATCAAAACACCTGCGGTATAATTTTCAATATATTGTTATTTTTGCACAAATGACTTTACATTTACTCCAAACGTGGAATGACATGGCTTGAAAAATGTGGCGCCCCCTGTCGGTGAAAACCCAGATCCTGTCAGACCTCTGAAGCTAAGCAGGGCAGAGCCTGGTTAATACTGTGATGGGAGACCTTTGGCAACACCAGGTGCCACAATGGGGTGGCTAAGGCTGTAAAGTGCCAAACTGTGGCAAGACACTTCAGCCACATTAGAATGAGTCTGGTGTGTGTGAATGGTTGGTGGCACAGACTGGTAGCCTCATTTGTGTCAGTGTGTCCCAGGGCAGCTGTGGCCACAGTAGCAGTTTATCACCACCTTGTATGGAGTGAATCATCTTTGAGAGTGCAGAAAAGCGCTATATAAAACCAATGAATTATTATTGTTAATGTCCCAATAAATCTGATACACAAAATTACACAACATTTCTTGCCTTTCTTGCCCTTCTTTCTTTCTCTCTTCTCTCTGGCCTCTCATCTCTTTCTGGCCTCTCTCTGGTAGCCCTGGTCTCTCTAATCTCTCTGACCTCTCTTCTCTCCTTCCTTTCTCTGGTCTCTTTCTCTTGCCCCTATCTGGCCTGTCTCTCCCTCTTGCCTCTCTTGCTCTATTCTCTGGCCTCTCCTCTATCTGGTCTCTTTCTCTTGCCACTCCTCTCGCTGGTTTCTCTCCCTCTTGCCGCCTTTCTTTCCTCTCTGGCCTCTCTCTTCTCTCTGGTCTCTCCTTCCCTCCTGCCTCTCTCTGGTCCCTCTCCTCTCTCTGGCCTGTCTGGCCAGCCTCTCCCTATCCTCTCTCAGGTATCTCCCTCTCCTCTCTCAGGTATCTCCCTCTCTGGCCTCTCACCTCTCTGGCCTCTCTCTCCTCTCTCAGACCTCTCTCTCCTCTGTCAGGTCTCTCTCCCTCCCTATGGCCTCTCTCTCCTCTCTTAGGTCTCCCTCTCGCCTCCCTCTCTTCTCTCTCTGTCGTTGTCTCATGTATAAATGTGGCCATATTTCAGGTGAACCCTTCAGACAGATACCACTTGATGCCAATCATCACGCCCGCCTACCCTCAGCAAAACTCCACCTACAACGTGTCCACATCCACGCGCACCATCATGAGCGAGGAGTTCAAATTCGGTAACCATTTATCTGGTGAAATGTGCCCAGGTTCTGTGTCTGTGATATAACTGTGTGTGCGCAGGTCTTGGTGTCACAGATGAAATCCTCTTGGGGAAAACTGACTGGTCCAAACTATTCGAACCGCCAAACTTCTTCCAGAAATACAAGTGAGTGACTACAGATTGCTTATTACTTGGTCAGAGTGCCCCCTGGAGGCAAAAAGAGGTCTGGACACAACTCTTATCAGCTGAAGATCTCCTACAGGGCTGACGTACAGTAGCACTCATACCTGCTTCACTGTGTTTGTGAACTGCAGAAAAAGACCAGGAAGTGCAGGGAATTACCATAGACTGTATATAGATGAACAATGTTAACCCGCTGCTACCTCAATGAACCCCAATATTTCTCATGGACAAACTTTTGCTCGCACTCTCTCTGGCTCCTATTGACTCACATGTAAAGGAGATAAACTGGTTTCTCTCTGGTGTATGTTTGTGTAGAAAATGTATTCGGATTTAACAATAATGTCCATCTCATATTTGGACTTAGAAAGACATTATCAGGATCACATTTCTCGCCTTTTGCCTTATTCTCTCGCCTCTCTTTACCCGTCTCTCTCTTTCTCTCTCTGTGATTAGGGTCATTGTCAGAACAGTTTTAGCTTTGTTTCACTCGGTCAGCTTTTGGCTTAGTCTTCTTTTAAAACTATATGAGAACATTTACTTTGTGTTTCAGACATTACATCGTCCTCAGTGCCAGTGCGTCCACAGAAGATAATCACTTAGAATGGTGAGTGTGTCGTTTTCTACCTCCTGTAGCGCTCTCTCATGTTTGTGCTCTCTCCTTCAGGATCGGGTTGGTGGAGTCAAAGATCAGAGTGTTAGTGGGGAATCTGGAGAGAAACGAGTACATAAACCTGGCTCATGTGAATCCTCAGTCCTTCCCCAACTCCAAGGAGAACCACGAGTGAGTAGGACATGGATGCATACTCTCTGATCTCTCTCTCTCTCTCTCTGGTCTCTTTCGCTTTGGTCTCTCTTTCTGGTCCCTGTGGTTTCTATCTCTCCAGTTTCTCTCTGATCTCTCTTTAGTCTCTCTTTTGTCTCTTTGGATTCAAATGTCTCTTTGTGACTTTTCCTTCTGCAGAAACGACTACATGTCTATGTGGTTCATTGGAATCCTCTTCAAGAAAGTAGAAAACGCGGAAAGTGTAAACATTGACCTGACGTACGACATCCAGTCCTTCACAGATACTGGTAAGAAGCTTTTATCTCTGGTGTCTCTCTCTGTGGTCTCTCTGTGGAGCCCCTGTGTCTTATGCGCGTCCTGTAGTTTACAGACAAGCGAATAACATCAACATGCTGAAGGACGGCATGAAGATCGAAGCCACACACGTGAAGAAGAAACAGCTGCATCAGTATCTGCCTCCAGAGCTGGTGCAGAAGAAGAAGAGGGTAAAATACTGCTGCTATCTCCCCCATAGTACAGTCTAACTTTTCACTCCTCACTCACCCTCTCTCCCCCTCCTCTCTTCACTAACCCTCTCCTCCACACTCACCCTCCTCACTCACCCGCTCTCCTCCTCTCTCCACAGAGCATAGCAGAGTTGAACCGCAGCTCTAATGGTGGTGGCTCTAAGCGCCTCTCTCTGGACAGCAGTCACCTGGACTCCTCCACAAACACAGAATCTGGGACCCCCCTCACCTCGCCGGCCTCCAAACCTCTCAAACCCCCCTCCGACACAGACGACGGGTGAGACCTGCTCCTGTGGCCTCAGAAATTCACCTCACACACATAGAATGGGACTTTTAACACACTGCAGATAACTTAAACCAGTAGCTACAGCGTCACAACCTTCACTAATCCCCAATTGCAAACATGTGGCGATCTTTTATATTATTTTTGTTGTTTCAGAGTGACTCCCTCCAAACAGCTGTTTGGGGAGAGCTCTCCAGTCTCTGCAGCTGAGGCTCCTCCAGCAACAGAGCAGACTTCAAACAGCCCGGAGCCCACAGCAGGTCAGTCACTCTCTCTGGTGTCTCTTTCTCTGTTCTCTCCCTCTCTTGTGTGTGTGTGTGTGTGTCTCTCTTTCTGGTCTCTAGCTCTCTTGTGTGTGTGTCTCTCTCGCTCTCTCTCTCTGTCTCTGTCTCTCTCTGGTGTGTCTTTTTCTCTCTGGTCTTCTAATTGTACAAAATAAAAACCAGTAATGTTTTTTTAATTTTTTTTATTCAGATCCTGAAGGGACCCCCCCTAAAACCCCCTCTCCGCCTCCATCTGCGCTGGAGCTGAAGCCGGACGCAGCCAGCAGCCCCAAACCAGAGACTCAGGGACCAGAGGAGGAGTCTGTGAACGGAGCCGCACCCAAACGCCCTCATTCCCCCACTCAGGAAGAGATCAGCAAGAGACTCAAAGACGAGGTGAGACCAGAGAGAGACGCAGAGGGGGAGGTGAGACGCAGAGGGGGAGGTGAGACGCAGAGGGGGAGGTGAGACGCAGAGGGGGAGGTGAGACGCAGAGGGGGAGGTGAGACGCAGAGGGGGAGGTGAGACGCAGAGGGGGAGGTGAGACGCAGAGAGGGTGGCCACTCACTTGTTCCAAAGATTTCCCCTTCTGCTTTGCCCTCTGGAGGCTGTTGGTGTCTTTAGAGGCCATGATGAAGGGGTAAAGAACCTCTCCCTGAAGACCTCTGTCAGAAACTTTGCTCTGACTCTAGGCCTGACGAGAGAAACACATTCACTAATATAAACTTAGCTCCACGTTCACACTGCATGTTCGAGTTAGCTCTAGAGAGGGGGGGACCAGAGAGAGAGAGAGAGAGAGAGAGGGGGAGACCAGAGAGAGAGTGGGAGACCAGAGAGAGAGAGAGTGGGAGACCAGAGAGAGAGAGTGGGAGACCAGAGAGAGAGAGAGTGGGAGACCAGAGAGAGAGAGAGTGGGAGACCAGAGAGAGAGAGAGTGGGAGACCAGAGTGGGAGACCAGAGAGAGAGAGAGTGGGAGACCAGAGAGAGAGAGAGTGGGAGACCAGAGAGAGAGAGAGTGGGAGACCAGAGAGAGAGAGAGTGGGAGACCAGAGAGAGAGAGAGTGGGAGACCAGAGAGAGAGAGAGAGAGAGTGGGAGACCAGAGAGAGAGAGTGGGAGACCAGAGAGAGAGAGAGAGGGAGACCAGAGAGAGAGAGAGGGAGACCAGAGAGAGAGAGAGAGAGAGTGGGAGACCAGAGAGAGAGAGGGGGAGACCAGAGAGAGAGACCGGATGTTCTAGTCTAACGTCATCGCTGATGAAATATTACTGAACTCATAATACTTGCCTGACCTTTTAGTGCAAGTTGAAAAACGTAATATATTTGTATTTCTCTCTTCAGGCAGTGTCCAACGACGATGCGACGTTCAAAGAGCCTTATCCTCCTTCAGACGTCTGCGCAGAAGGAACGAATGTTGTAAGTTGAAAACCTGCCTCTAGTTTTCTTTAGGAAAATTTCACGGAAAATCAAATCTTTGTCCCATGGTGTCATTCCAGAATTCCGCCCCAAAAGCAAAACCCATTCCAACACTGGATACCTCAAGGACACAGGTGAGTCCCACATTCTCCTCACAAACAGACCTGGGGCTGTGTTTAGATCTATCCACGCTCATCTTAAGAACAGGCACAACCTTTCTGATCTTTCTCTCTGGTCTCTCTCTTCTCTCTCTCTTCTCTCTGGTCTCTCTCTCTTCTCTCTGGTCTCTCTCTCTTCTCTCTGGTCTCTCTTGTCTTTGACTCTTTGGTTTCTCCATCTCTTTTGTCTTAATTATTGTGGGTTATTTTTTGACATCTTCACGACCACATTAACGCAGCGACCAAGTCATTTTTTTTAACCCAAATGTAATGCATAATTATTCTTTGTTTTGTGCAGAGACTTCCGAGTATGGAGCTTCCCGACGCCTCCTCTCCTCTCCCGGCCAGTAACAGCTGTAGAGTCGTCAAGAACTCCATCAAACTGGCTCTGAACCGACACAAGTGAGAGCCCCTCCCACACTGGTCACTTACACCTTTAACAACAGTGATAAAACAATGATAGCTTTTCATTTGGTGGGCAACAATATGATATAATGAGGGAGGGAGAAGACCAGAGGAGTTGGGAGGGAGAAGACCAGAGGGGAAGGGAGGGAGGTAGAGAGACAGTGGACAGACCATAGAGGGGCACGTAGGAGGGAGAGAGACCAGAGAGGGACACCAGGGGGAGAGACCAACCAGAAGGACTGACCAGAGATGGAGGGGGAGGGACCCACTGGAGGGACTGACTGGAGATGGAGGGAGGGAGGGAGACAAATTAAATCTAATTTCTGGCCACATCTTTAGATCAGGACCACCCTGACCCTTCCAATCAATTCTCAGCCCCAAGAGTTAAATAGTGACTCACAGGATATGGAAAAGATTAAATGGTTGCTAGACAGTGTTGATCTAGTCTCATGTGCTGCTGCTGCTGTAGTAATGTTGATTTTCCTCACTCCTCTCTCTCTCCCTCCTCAGCATCACACCTCCGAAGCCGCCAGTGTTCGAGACTCCTCCCCCCAAAGAAGACCCGCCTCCTACCACCGCCGCCACTCAAGTCTCTGCTCCGGTTGCAGAGAAGGGCATGTCCATCCCTGTCATCGGCTCCAGTAAGAACTCTCTCACTCAGTTGTTATCATCCGGGATTCTCATTGGACGTTACACACACTGATCTTGTTTTAAACTTCACCAAATATAAAAGCAAAGAAAGGTTTCTCACCCATCATCTGTACTTCTTAGCAGGTTTTCCCGACGTTTCGTCTTTCATCAGATGATGGGTGAGAAACCTTCCTTTGCTTTAACTAATCCCTGTACGACTGAGAGCTTACACAAACTTTTCACCAAATATAGACTTTTATACCTTTTAGAATCTGCAGTAATCCACTCCTATTGGTGACCCTTTTAAGTTCCCAATTGTCCTGTTTCCACCATCTCCACCAGCTCTACTCTACTCTGTTGTGATTCCGTTACGCTTTAATGTGGTACTGTATTCTAGCAAGCTCCCCACTAGTTTCTTGGTAACCATGGCTTCCAGCAGTACTCTGACCAATCACTGTCAGTCAGAACATTTTAGTACCAGCTCGGCCTGGATAGAACCAGGACCATAAGTGACACGTGACCAATGCCCATAGATGTTAATAGACTGTCTCTGTCTGTCTCCTCCCTCCCTCCGGTCTCACCCTCTCCCTCTCCCTCCTGCCTCTGTTTCCCCTCCGATCTCTCCCTCTCTCTCCGGCCTCTCCCTCTCCACCCCTCCTGTCTCTCCCACTCCACCTCTCCTGTCTCCCACTCCCTCCCTCTTGTCTCTTCCTATCCACCCCTCCTGCCTCTCCCTCTCTCTCTCCCTCCCTCTTCTCTCTCCCTCCCTCCCTCCTCTCTCCCCTCAGAGCATGTGTCAAAGCTGGGCCCTCAGTCAGTGGGCAGCTCTATTCCCACACTGGTCAGTCGAGGACCAGATCCCCTGAACGGATCCAAACGACCGCACTCTCCGTCGCTGGAGGAACAGGCCAAACGCATCAAGGAGACGGAAAAGGCCCGGATCCACATCGCCTGAACCAGATCCACCCACACAAACTTTTATATGGCGCCCACAACTTGACTGGCAACCGGACACAAAGCTCTCAAAGTCAAACTCAATTATGGAAGATTTTCAATCCATTTTCCATTTTTTTTTTTTTTTTTTACTTCCGTTGCGTTTGTGAAGCGGCGGACACTAGCGAATCTCCCACTTTGCGTTTTAAAACAGCAAAAATCTTTCATTTTGTACAGTTAAATGTGGATGTACATAACTTTGTCTTTAAAAAAAGCTACGATCACTGTCTTTTGGATCGCTCTATTGTTGTTTTATCTAAAAACGAGGAAAAAAAATGTTTAAAAAATTGTGATTTATCTTTCGCTTGTTGGAAGAAGAAGAAAAATTGTCTCCCAAGAGTTTTTGGGGTTTTTTTGGCATTCAAAGCAAGGGACTGCTGCAGTAGAAGACGCAACTTCAGGTTGGTATGTGTCACAAGCAGAGTTTTAAAGGAAATGGACGGATAGATTATTGTGGGATTGATGCTTACTTAGGAACAGAGTGATACGTGTTCAAACGTGGATCAAAGACTGAAAAAGTTCCATTAAATCTGTTCTGAAATACACAGGTCAAAATTCCAGACTTCTCACCATCAATGCTTTGTGCCAAACTGTCAAAGGATCTTATTCTGTTGCTACATTTGTTACTAACAAACAAAATATGACATTTCCTGGTCTGTTTTAACCCTTAAACTCTTTATTAATATAGCGCATTTAACTGAAAAAGATAATATTTAGTTCAGACTGAGGCCGTAGATCCGTGACTGAGACCGGAGAGATCCGTGACTGAGACCGGAGAGATCCGTGACTGAGACCGGAGAGATCCGGGGCCGAGACCGGAGAGATCCGGGGCCGAGACCGGAGAGATCCGGGGCCGAGGCCGGAGAGATCCGTGACTGAGACCGGAGAGATCCATAGTTATCACTCTCTGTGATCCGGGTGTTTATATTGTGCTATTGTTTTTGTAAATCCAGTTATGAGCCATCTAAGGATTGACCAATCAGATGCCTTTTTTGTGGGGGTAACTCCAGCTTGCCTTAGCAACCGTCATAGCAACACGTCTGCCCCTGTTACAGAGCAAAGCTAACATTGCGAAAGGAAGATTCTGATGTGGTTTAGAACTTCAATAAAGTCATAACTAGCAAAAGTGAAAAGTCTTGAATTCAATAAAACTCTAAGTTTTAATAGTTAAATATGGTAGGTGCATAATTAGGAGTTATGCTATTTACTTTGTTCGTTTACAGAAGTTCTCCTTGCAAAATAGTGATCCATGTCACCATGGAAACCTGTGGACTAATTTTCCCTTCGAACACGTTTGAACTGTTGTTAGTCTTCTGGAAATACAGTTAATGATATCTTTGTCTGTTTCACTCTTTCAGGATCCGTTCTTTGGTTGTAACTTGAGGCTCAGACTCTCATCCACCCCTCGTCTCTCACCACCTCCCCCTCTCACCCCCTCACCTCCGGGTCAATCTGTCTTTGGATTCAGAATTTATTCTTAAAGTGCCTTTGATCGGTTGAATACTATTTTTACAATTGCTAATACTTCAGAAGCTACTACTACTACTGCTACTCCTATTGCTAAAACTACTATTTCTGCTACGTCTACCACCATTACTACTGCTTCTGCTACTGCTACTAAAATGCAGTTGTATTTTGTATTATTTTTCTATTTCAGCTAAATGATGCTAAAATTCCAACACTATTGATTCCATGTTGCGCAGAGATTATGTAACCCTCTGAACCCCATGAGAAATCCATGTCGCTTGTTGCAGCAGAAGGGGCCCTCTGAGTCACTATTTGACTCTTTGGGCTAAGAGACAGTAGAATGCCTGTTTCTATTTTAAGTTACAATTTGAGGATTTTTTGCCCAGTTTGTAACTTGGATTTCCCAGTATGACGTCACAGGTTTACAATCAGCCAGTGCTAGCATACGTTAGCATCATTAGCATATTTCGGAAATATTAGACAAGAAAAATTGAGATTTGAATAAAACGTGTATGAATCGGTCAAAGGCACATGTTTTTAGGAACAAATGGTTGCGAGTTGTTTTTTTTTTTTTTGAGTGCATTGAGTTGATTGCTATCTATATAGATTTTTTTTCCTCCCAAAATCTGTAAAGAAAAAATATCCCTTTATGTTTTTCATTGAATTTGTTTATTTTGATATTCTTTACATTTATCTTGGTTTGGGTTCTGCCGCTGCGCCTCCTGTGGAGGCTTTAAACCCATTCAGGCATCTCTCCTGGGGCTGTCAGTGGGGGGTCTATGGAGTGAGGGGCTGGAGACAACTTTTTTTCTTTTATTGATGTTTTTTGTCACGTTTTTCAAAGTAATTGTGGATTTAAAGCATAGTTTAAATTGATGATCATATTCCCACACTATTTAACTGTTAGCTTTATGTCGTCAGTGCTTTCCACACAATCCACACCATCAAATACACTTAATGATGGCTGTTAGCATAACGTTAGCATATCATTAGCGTAACCTTTGCTAGCCTTACCAATTCAAGCAACTACATGATCAAAATGAGAAATTATTTTGATGTTCATTAACTAACAAAAACATTCTTGAAATATGAAAAAAAAAATCACCTAGCATACATACATTAGCATCATTAGCAACAACCCCAAGTTCTTTGTGTTAATTATGCTAGCCTCCTTAATGTTAGCAGCATTACTTTAGTTGAAAAACATAAGCAATATCAGCATACGCCATAAACATTAGTGTACATTAACATTTCTTGTGCCATTATTGAAGTATGTCAATCTCTCACATGATAGACATAAGACAAAAATGATAGCATACGTTAGCAACATTAGCATATTCCAGAAACATTAGCATCCGTTGGCATGTCTTAGCAACATTGGCATATGAAAGTGAGCGTTGTTCTTAAGGGTTTAAAATAGAAATCGCAAACAATATTTTTCCACCATCTAAAATTTTGTATCCTACGAAATCAAACGTCTTCAAGTTAAATATTTCTAATACTTTTCTGTTATAAACTGTGCTTTGTTCCCTTTCCATGTGAGATTCTGTGACACTAAACTCTTTCCTTTCTTTGTACAGACTTTTGAGGCATATTCTTCATCAAAGGGGTTTTCTTATCACTTTATTTATATTTGCATATTTGTACCATGCCCTCTTTTTTAATAGCATTCATAGCAGGTAGGTTCATACTTCAGTTCTCTTCCATCACCGCTGCTGTGACCTGTTCGACATTTGAAAAACGGTCATTTAGACGTTTGTTTCTAAACTGTAACAAAAGGGTATTTTTCTATGTGTTTATCACTTCCTTTAATGAATCGTACAAAACATTAAACCCCTTAAAAACTAAAGTCTCACGAGTTTTTGTTTTTATTACACACAAGTTATTAATATTTACAGTCTATATCAGGGGCTCCCTCGAGGGATATGTCAAAGAATCACTGAAAAAAATATATAATTTTTTACGGTCTCCCTCTCTGGTCTCCCTCTCTGGTCTCCCTCTCTGGTCTCTCCTCTCTGGTCTCTCTCTCTGGTCTCCCTCTCTGGTCTCCCTCTCTGGTCTCCCTCTCTGGTCTCCCTCTCTGGTCTCCCTCTCTGGTCTCTCTCTCTGGTCTCCCTCTCTGGTCTCCCTCTCTGGTCTCCCTCTCTGGTCTCCCTCTCTCGTCTCCCTCTCTCGTCTCCCTCTCTCGTCTCCCTCTCTCGGTCTCTCTGGTCTCCCTCTCTCGTCTCCCTCTCTCGTCTCCCTCTCTCGTCTCCCTCTCTCGTCTCCCTCTCTCGTCTCCCTCTCTCGTCTCCCTCTCTCGTCTCCCTCTCTCGTCTCCCTCTCTCGGTCTCCCTCTCTCGTCTCCCTCTCTCGTCTCCCTCTCACTGGTTTCTCTTATTCTGGTCTCTCTCTCTCTCTGGTTTCTCTTATTCTGGTCTCTCTCTCTGGTCTCCCTCTCTGGTCTCCCTCTCTGGTCTCCCTCTCTGGTCTCCCTCTCTGGTCTCCCTCTCTGGTCTCCCTCTCTGGTCTCCTCTCTGGTCTCCCTCTCTGGTCTCCCTCTCTGGTCTCCCTCTCTGGTCTCTCTCTCTGGTCTCTCTCTCTGGTCTCCCTCTCTGGTCTCCCTCTCTGGTCTCCCTCTCTGGTCTCCCTCTCTGGTCTCCCTCTCTGGTCTCCCTCTCTGGTCTCCCTCTCTCTCTGGTCTCTCTCTCTCTCTCTGGTCTCTCTCTCTCTCTCTCTGGTCTCTCTCTCTCTCTCTCTCTGGTCTCTCTCTCTCTCTCTGGTCTCTCTCTCTCTCTCTCTGGTCTCTCTCTCTCTCTCTCTCTCTGGTCTCTCTCTCTCTCTGGTCTCCCTCTCTGGTCTCCCTCTCTCTGGTCTCCCTCTCTCGTCTCCCTCTCTCGTCTCTCCCTCTCTGGTCTCTCTCCCTCTCTCGTCTCCTCTCTCTCGTCTCTCCTCTCTCTCGTCTCCCTCTCTCGTCTCCTCTCTCGTCTCCCTCTCTGGTCTCTCCTCTCTCTGGTCTCCTCCCTCTCTGGTCTCCCTCTCTCGTCTCCCTCTCTCGTCTCCCTCTCTCGTCTCCCTCTCTCGTCTCCCTCTCTCGTCTCCCTCTCTCTGTCTCCCTCTCTCGTCTCCCTCTCTCGTCTCCCTCTCTCGTCTCCCTCTCTCGTCTCCCTCTCTCGTCTCCCTCTCTCGTCTCCCTCTCTCGTCTCCCTCTCTCGTCTCCCTCTCTCGTCTCCCCTCTCGTCTCCCTCTCTGTCTCCCTCTCTCGTCTCCCTCTCTCGTCTCCCTCTCTCGTCTCCCTCTCTCGTCTCCCTCTCTCGTCTCCCTCTCTCGTCTCCCTCTCTCGTCTCCCTCTCTCGTCTCCTCTCTCTCGTCTCCCTCTCTCGTCTCTCCGTCTCCCTCTCTCGTCTCCCTCTCTCGTCTCCCTCTCTCGTCTCCCTCTCTCGTCTCCCTCTCTCGTCTCCCTCTCTCGGTCCTCTCTGGTCTCCCTCTCTGGTCTCCCTCTCTGGTCTCCCTCTCTGGTCTCCCTCTCTCTGGTCTCCCTCTCTCTGGTCTCCCTCTCTCTGGTCTCCCTCTCTCTGGTCCCTCTCTCTGGTCCCTCTCTCACTGGTCCCTCTCTCACTGGTCTCCCTCTCACTGGTCTCCTCTCTCTGGTCTCCCCTCTCTGGTCTCCCTCTCTGGTCTCCCTCTCTGGTCTCCCTCTCTGGTCTCCTCTCTCTCTCTGGTCTCTCTCTCTCTGGTCTCTCCCTCTCTGGTCTCTCCCTCTCTGGTCTCTCCCTCTCTGGTCTCTCCCTCTCTGGTCTCCCTCTCTGGTCTCTCCCTCTCTGGTCTCTCCCTCTCTGGTCTCTCCCTCTCTGGTCTCTCCCTCTCTGGTCTCTCCCTCTCTGGTCTCTCCCTCTCTGGTCTCTCCCTCTCTGGTCTCTCCCTCTCTGGTCTCTCCCTCTCTGGTCTCTCCCTCTCTGGTCTCTCCCTCTCTGGTCTCTCCCTCTCTGGTCTCTCCCTCTCTGGTCTCTCCCTCTCTGGTCTCTCCCTCTCTGGTCTCTCCCTCTCTGGTCTCTCCCTCTCTGGTCTCTCGCTTTCTGGTCTCTCCCTCTCTGGTCTCTCCCTCTCTGGTCTCCCTCTCTCTCTGGTCCCTCTCTCTCTGGTCCCTCTCTCTGGTCCCTCTCTCTCTGGTCCCTCTCTCTCTGGTCTCTCTCTCTCTGGTCTCTCTCTCTCTGGTCTCTCTCTCTCTGGTCTCTCCCTCTCTGGTCTCTCCCTCTCTGGTCTCTCCCTCTCTGGTCTCTCCCTCTCTGGTCTCTCTCTCTGGTCTCCCTCTCTGGTCTCCCTCTCTGGTCTCCCTCTCTGGTCTCCCTCTCTGGTCTCCCTCTCTGGTCTCCCTCTCTGGTCTCCCTCTCTGGTCTCCCTCTCTGGTCTCCCTCTCTGGTCTCCCTCTCTGGTCTCCCTCTCTGGTCTCCCTCTCTGGTCTCCCTCTCTGGTCTCCCTCTCTGGTCTCCCTCTGGTCTCCCTCTCTCTGGTCTCCCTCTCTGGTCTCCCTCTCTGGTCTCCCTCTCTGGTCTCCCTCTCTGGTCTCCCTCTCTGGTCTCCCTCTCTGGTCTCCCTCTCTGGTCTCCCTCTCTGGTCTCCCTCTCTGGTCTCTCCTCTCTGGTCTCCCTCTCTGGTCTCCCTCTCTGGTCTCCCTCTCTGGTCTCCCTCTCTGGTCTCCCTCTCTGGTCTCCCTCTCTGGTCTCCCTCTCTGGTCTCCCTCTCTGGTCTCCCTCTCTGGTCTCCCTCTCTGGTCTCCCTCTCTGGTCTCCCTCTCTGGTCTCCCTCTCTGGTCTCCCTCTCTGGTCTCCCTCTCTGGTCTCCCTCTCTGGTCTCCCTCTCTCGTCTCCCTCTCTCGTCTCCCTCTCTCGTCTCCCTCTCTCGTCTCCCTCTCTCGTCTCCCTCTCTCGTCTCCCTCTCTCGTCTCCCTCTCTCGTCTCCCTCTCTCGTCTCCCTCTCTCGTCTCCCTCTGTCGTCTCCCTCTCTCTGGTCCCTCTCTCTGGTCCCTCTCTCTGGTCCCTCTCTCTGGTCCCTCTCTCACTGGTTTCTCTCTCTGGTTTCTCTTATTCTGGTCTCTCTCTCTCGCTGGTTTCTCTTATTCTGGTCTCTCTCTCTCTGGTCTCTCTCTCACTGGTTTCTCTTATTCTGGTTTCTCTTATTCTGGTCTCTCTCTCTCTCTGGTTTCTCTTATTCTGGTCTCTCTCTCTCTCTGGTCCCTCTCTCACTGGTTTCTCTCTCTGGTTTCTCTTATTCTGGTCTCTCTCTCTGGTTTCTCTTATTCTGGTCTCTCTCTCTCTCTGGTCTCTCTCTCACTGGTTTCTCTCTCTGGTTTCTCTTATTCTGGTCTCTCTCTCTGGTTTCTCTTATTCTGGTCTCTCTCTCTCTCTGGTCCCTCTCTCTCTGGTTTCTCTTATTCTGGTCTCTCTCTCTCTCTCTGGTCCCTCTCTCTCTGGTTTCTCTTATTCTGGTCTCTCTCTCTCTCTGGTTTCTCTTATTCTGGTCTCTCTCTCTCTCTGGTCTCCCTCTCTGGTCTCCCTCTCTGGTCTCCCTCTCTGGTCTCCCTCTCTGGTCTCCCTCTCTGGTCTCCCTCTCTGGTCTCCCTCTCTGGTCTCCCTCTCTGGTCCCTCTCTCACTGGTTTCTCTTATTCTGGTCTCTCTCCCTCTCTGGTCTCTCCCTCTCTGGTCTCTCACTGGTTTCTCTCACTGGTTTCTCTCTGGTCTCTCTCTCTCTGGTCTCTCCCTCTCTGGTCTCTCCCTCTCTGGTCTCTCCCTCTCTGGTCTCTCCCTCTCTGGTCTCTCCCTCTCTGGTCTCTCCCTCTCTGGTCTCCCTCTCTGGTCTCCCTCTCTGGTCTCCCTCTCTGGTCTCCCTCTCTGGTCTCCCTCTCTGGTCTCCCTCTGGTCTCCCTCTGGTCTCCCTCTCACTGGTTTCTCTTATTCCGGTCTCTCTCTCTCTGGTCTCTCTCTCTCTGGTCTCTCCCTCTCTGGTCTCTCCCTCTCTGGTCTCTCCCTCTCTGGTCTCTCCCTCTCTGGTTTCTCTTATTCTGGTCTCTCTCTCTCTCTGGTCTCTCTCTCTCTGGTCTCTCCCTCTCTGGTCTCTCCCTCTCTGGTCTCTCTCTCTCTGGTCTCTCCCTCTCTGGTCTCTCCCTCTCTGGTCTCTCCCTCTCTGGTCTCCCTCTCTGGTCTCCCTCTCTGGTCTCTCCCTCTCTGGTGTCTCCCTCTCTGGTTTCTCTTATTCTGGTCTCTCTCCCTCTCTGGTCTCTCCCTCTCTGGTCTCTCTCTCCTCTGGTCTCTCCCTCTCTGGTCTCTCTCTCTCTGGTCTCTCCCTCTCTGGTCTCTCCCTCTCTGGTCTCTCCCTCTCTGGTCTCCCTCTCTGGTCTCCCTCTCTGGTCTCCCTCTCTGGTCTCCCTCTGGTCTCCCTCTCTGGTCTCCCTCTGGTCTCCCTCTCTCTGGTCCCTCTCTCACTGGTTTCTCTTATTCTGGTCTCTCTCTCTCTCTGGTCTCTCTCTCTCTGGTCTCTCCCTCTCTGGTCTCTCTTATTCTAGTCTCTCTCTCTCTCTCTCTGGTCTCTCCCTCTCTGGTCTCTCTTATTCTAGTCTCTCTCCCTCTCTGGTCTCCCTCTCTGGTCTCCCTCTCTGGTCTCCCTCTCTGGTCTCCCTCTCTGGTCTCCCTCCTGGTCTCTCTGGTCTCCCTCTCTCTGGTCCCTCTCTCACTGGTCTCTCTCTCTCTGGTTTCTCTTATTCTGGTCTCTCTCTCTCTGGTCTCTCCCTCTCTGGTCTCTCTTATTCTAGTCTCTCTCTCTCTCTGGTCTCTCTCTCTCTGGTCTCCCTCTCTGGTCTCCCTCTCTGGTCTCTCTCACTGGTTTCTCTTATTCTGGTTTCTCTTATTCTGGTCTCTCTCCCTCTCTGGTCTCTCCCTCTCTGGTCTCTCCCTCTCTGGTCTCTCCCTCTCTGGTCTCTCCCTCTCTGGTCTCTCCCTCTCTGGTCTCTCCCTCTCTGGTCTCTCCCTCTCTGGTCTCTCTCTCTGGTCTCCCTCTCTGGTCTCCCTCTCTGGTCTCCCTCTCTGGTCTCCCTCTCTGGTCTCTCTCACTGGTTTCTCTTATTCTGGTCTCTCCCTCTCTGGTCTCTCCCTCTCTGGTCTCTCCCTCTCTGGTCTCTCCCTCTCTGGTCTCTCCCTCTCTGGTCTCTCCCTCTCTGGTCTCTCCCTCTCTGGTCTCTCTCTCTGGTCTCTCTCTCTGGTCTCCCTCTCTGGTCTCCCTCTCTGGTCTCCCTCTCTGGTCTCCCTCTCTGGTCCCTCTCTCACTGGTTTCTCTTATTCTGGTCTCTCCCTCTCTGGTCTCTCCCTCTCTGGTCTCCCTCTCTGGTCTCCCTCTCTGGTCTCCCTCTCTGGTCTCCCTCTCTGGTCTCTCTCACTGGTTTCTCTTATTCTGGTCTCTCCCTCTCTGGTCTCTCCCTCTCTGGTCTCTCCCTCTCTGGTCTCTCTCTCTCTGGTCTCTCTCTCTCTGGTCTCTCTCTCTCTGGTCTCTCTCTCTCTGGTCTCTCTCTCTCTGTTCTCTCTCTCTGGTCTCTCTCTCTCGGTCTCTCTCTCTCTCGGTCTCTCTCGGTGGTCTTTCTCGCTGGTCTCTCTTGCTGGTCTCTCTTGCTGGTCTCTCTCTCTGATCTCTCTCTTTGATCTCTCTCTTTGGTCTCTAGTTTACTTTTACATGGAAGTCAAAAGGAGCCAGAGAGAGTTGTAATCTTCATCCATGAGCACTTCCTTATTGGGCTTCATGGAGCTAGCATGGTTAGCCTTAAACACAGTGTATGTTTGTTTAAAGGCGACAGAGTGAGGTCTGACCGTTAAAGGGGTTGGATCCTCGCGTGATCCTCTGGACGATGGAGTCTTTCACTTCTCGTCTCCTCACGCACTGAATGCCCAGGTTCTGGAAACTACACACAACATTCACAGATATTAGATTTACTTGTTTATTTTAAGATAAGCAGAGCAGGACCTGGTTAGTAATGTGATGGGAGACCTGCAGACCCAGTGCTAGGGCCAGATCCGGACACAGACCCAGACCCAGACCCAGACTCAGACCCAGACCCAGACCCAGACTCAGACCCAGACTCAGACCCAGACCCAGACTCAGACCCAGACTCAGACCCAGACTCAGACTCAGACTCAGACCCAGACTCAGACCCAGACTCAGACCCAGACTCAGACCCAGACTCAGACCCAGACTCAGACCCAGACTCAGACCCAGACCCAGACTCAGACTCAGACCCAGACTCAGACCCAGACTCAGACCCAGACTCAGACTCAGACTCAGACTCAGACTCAGACTCAGACTCAGACTCAGACTCAGAGAAAGACCCAGACTCAGAGAAAGACCCAGACTCAGAGAAAGACCCAGACTCAGACTCAGACTCAGACACAGAGAAAGACCCAGACTCAGACTCAGACTCAGACACAGAGAAAGACCCAGACCCAGACTCAGACACAGAGAAAGACCCAGACCCAGACTCAGACACAGAGAAAGACCCAGACTCAGAGAAAGATCCAGACTCAGAGAAAGACCCAGACTCAGAGAAAGACCCAGACTCAGAGAAAGACCCAGACTCAGAGAAAGACCCAGACAGACACAGAGAAAGATCCAGACTCAGAGAAAGACCCAGACTCAGAGAAAGACCCAGACTCAGAGAAAGACCCAGACTCAGAGAAAGACCCAGACAGACACAGAGAAAGACCCAGACTCAGACACAGAGAAAGACCCAGACCCAGACCCAGAGACCGACACAGAGACAGAGACAGTTGATGGGCTTACAGTATCTGGGCATGAATTATCTACAAATGTTGAGGGGACAAGCCAAATAAAAGAAAACCAAGATTGTGAATGAAATTAAGTACATTTTATTAAGCCGGAGTAGTGAACCATGACCACGGCGGCCATCTTGCTTACTATTTACACAGATAAAAACACAGCAGCAGCAGCAGCAGCAGCAGTAGTAGGATATACGAGCACAGCCACATGACAGATGTAAATTACACAGTCCACAGACCGCGTGCTTTTCTCTCTCACAAACACGATGATGTCACTCGGGGGAATTCCCATCGTCACCGACTCAGGAGATAAAAGTGAAATTTAAAAGTGAGAGAATGAAGCTGAAAAAGTGACTATTGATGATTAATTTCTACTGCTTAGAATTGTGTGAAGTATTGCACCAGCTCTCTCTCTGGTCTCTCTCTCTCTGGTCTCTCTAGTCCCACTCCCTCTGTCCCACTCCCTCTAGTCCCACTCCCTCTGGTCTCACTCCCTCTGGTCTCTCTCTCTGGTCTCTCTCTCTGGTCTCTCTCTCTGGTCTCTCTCTCTGGTGTCTCTCTCTCTGGTCTCTCTCTCTGGTCTCTCTCTCTGGTCTCTCTCTCTGGTCTCTCTCTCTGGTCTCTCTCTCTGGTCTCTCTCTCTCTAGTCTCACTCTCTCTAGTCTCACTCTCTCTAGTCTCACTCTCTCTAGTCTCACTCTCTCTAGTCTCACTCTCTCTAGTCTCTCTCTCTAGTCACTCTCTCTAGTCACTCTCTAGTCTCACTCTCTCTAGTCTCTCTCACTCTCTAGTCTCACTCACTCTCTAGTCTCACTCTCTCTAGTCTCACTCTCTCTAGTCTCACTCTCTCTAGTCTCACTCTCTCTAGTCTCACTCTCTCTAGTCTCACTCTCTCTAGTCTCTCTCTCTCTAGTCTCTCCCTCTAGTCTCTCTCTCTCTAGTCTCACTCTCTAGTCTCACTCTCTCTAGTCTCTCTCTCTAGTCTCTCTCTCTAGTCTCTCTCTCTAGTCTCTCTCTCTAGTCTCTCTCTCTAGTCTCTCTCTCTAGTCTCTCTCTCTAGTCTCTCTCTCTAGTCTCTCTCTCCAGTCTCTCTCTGGTCTTGGTATTTCGTTCGCAGCAATATTAGAATATTTCTTGCGGCCGGGACAAAATACTAAGATTATAAATAGTCCCTACAAGTTTGCGCCTCCAGGTTTAACAGTTGTAGTGACGCATATCTCCGGCGCAGAAACTTATGTCATCACTTTTCCCTCCAGTCTACTTTTTTTTTTTAATGGCCCCTCCCACAGAAAAATTTGAAAAAACGCATTTGCGCAAGTATTAGCTGGACGAGCCTCATTCATTTGACAAGTACAATAAAAAAAACCACAGTGGGTAAACTTGGCTAGTCCAATTTAAACAACCTCCAAGCATCTACAGCATCAGCCAAGAGAGACTTTTGGACCGGGCTGTACCGTTATTGCGAGGTTCAAAGGTGTTAGAATGCACTGGATAATTCTGTTTCCTGTACGCCACCACCAGCATGTCATAGACCCTCTGTGAGCCGGAACCCGCCCCCACTGGTTGAAAGCCAGTGTGTGAAGTGTCGCACAGATCACTCTACTCACGCAATGACACGGCGGTCCGGCCCGAACTCGGTCTCGTAGATCCCGTCCTTACAGTCCTTGCCCACCAGGTCGTGAGGGTGAGGTCTGTACGGCTCGTTCTTCGTCACCAGCGACACACGGACTTTCCCTCTGCCACAGAAGTTCAGGATCTGGAGGAACGCAGACACAGTTAAAGAGAGACCAGAGAGAGAGACCAGAGAGTCTAGAGAGAGACTAGAGAGACCAGAGAAAGACCAGAGAGAGACCAGAGAGAGACCAGAGAGAGACCAGAGAGAGACCAGAGAGAGACCAGAGAGAGACCAGAGAGAGACCAGAGAGAGCGACCTGAGAGAAACCAGAGAGAGACCAGAGAGAGACCAGAGAGAGACCAGAGAGAGAGACCAGAGAGAGAGACCAGAGAGAGAGACCAGGGAGAGACCAGAGAGAGACCAGAGAGAGAGACCAGAGAGAGACCAGAGAGAGAGACCAGGGAGAGAGACCAGGGAGAGACCAGAGAGAGACCAGAGAGAGACCAGAGAGAGAGATCTGAGAGAGACCAGAGAGAGAGACCAGGGAGAGAGACAGGGAGAGACCAGGGAGAGACCAGAGAGAGACCAGAGAGAGACCAGAGAGAGACCAGAGAGAGACCAGAGAGAGACCAGAGAGAGAGACCAGAGAGAGAGAGACCAGGGAGAGAGACCAGAGAGAGAGACCAGGGAGAGACCAGAGAGAGACCACAGAGAGAGACCAGAGAGAGACCAGAGAGAGACCAGAGAGAGACCAGAGAGAGAGACCAGAGAGAGAGAGACCAGAGGGAGAGACCAGAGAGAGATCAGAGAGAGATCAGAGAGAGATCAGAGAGAGAGACCAGAGAGAGACCAGAGAGAGAGACCTGAGAGAGAGACCAGAGAGAAACCAGGGAGAGACCAGAGAGAGACCAGAGAGAGACCAGAGAGAGAGACCAGAGAGAGAGACCAGAGAGAAACCAGGGAGAGAGACCAGGGAGAGAGACCAGGGAGAGAGACCAGGGAGAGAGACCAGAGAGAGAGACCAGAGAGAGACCAGAGAGAGACCAGAGATAGACCAGAGAGATAGACCATAAAATCTGCTGTTGCACCTGTATACTGGAGTAGATGTGGTAGTACCTGTGTAGTAGTACTTGTGTGGTAGTACCGTATAGCTGAATACTGAGGTAGTACCTGAATATTGGGGTAGTACCTGAATACTGAGGTAGTACCTGAATACCGGGGTAGTACCTGAATACCGGGGTAGTACCTGAATACTGGGGTAGTACCTGAATACTGGGGTAGGTCCTGTTGTTGTCCGAGCTCCTCTCTCCAGGGATACTTCCTGCAGAGCGACCTTCCACTCGGTACCTGAACCTCATCCCGCGCTGCTTCGGCTGCTCGAAGATCTGCACCTCAGGCTCCGCCCCTGGAGAGTACGGGAACATGATCAGCTTCTTTACACACTTATTAAAGGTATGTCTCTCTCTCTCTGGTCCCTCTCTCTCTCTGGTCTCTCTGGTCTTTCTGGTCTCTCTCTCTGGTCTCTCTCTCTCTCTCTCTCTGGTCTTTCTGGTCTCTCTCTCTCTGGTCTCTCTGGTCTCTCTCTCTCTGGTCTCTCTGGTCTCTCTCTCTCTCTGGTCTCTCTGGTCTCTCTCTCTCTCTGGTCTCTCTCTGATTTCTCTCTCTGGTCTCTCTCTTTCTGTAAGTCTCACCACAGAGTATACATGTAAGGATCTACTGTGTTAAAGCTGGGGTATGTAACTTTCAAACCACAAACAAATAGGGCAGTGTAATAACTGTCACAAGGCTTTTTCTGACAAGAATGAAAATTAAAATGTTTTATAAGATGAAAACATTCCATGCTCTGAATAGTAGCAGTAGCATCAGTAGTAGCAGTAGTGATAATAGTAGTAGTAGTAGCAGTAGAAACAGTAGCAGTAGTACACTAGTAGTAAAAGCAGCAGTAGTGATCCAATTTGTTCACAAGGCTCTTTCTACTGGGATAAACCACATGTGTTTTATATGGGGGGAAACAGGTACCCCAGCTTTAAACAAAGTAAACACAAACACACACACACACACACACACAGACACACACACACGCCACTGTCAGACTCAGACAAACTGGTCTTGTAACATGTTTGGATTGACATCTGGGACACGAGCCAAAAACCTGCTTCACCGCCACACGTCCACAGCCTCCATTTTGCAGAACGGAAATTAAAATCAGAATTAAAATAACCGAGTCACAAACGCACATAAGGAGCAACTCTTTAACAAATGTTAGAAAAAGCACACATGTCACTTCCAGGTCTCGTCACCCACGCAACAAGGAAGTACATTCACTTTGCTGATGTCACAACTTGTAGAAACATGAAATAAAAGTGTTTTGGATGATAATAAAGAGCTGGTACTCACTGAAATGCAGGTTGTCCCCGAGAAGAGAAGGCCCCAGCGCTGCATGTTGGAGAAGCAGAGACAGAAACAAGAATGTGTCGGAAAAAATGATTCTTTTGCATGTGACAGGAGTGTTTTAGCATTTCTACACTTTCTATCAGTCTATATGGGAGAATGAGAGAGAAGTGGATAGAGAGAAAAGAGAGAGAGAGAGAGCAGGGAGAGAGCAGAGAGAGAGAGAAGGGAGAGAGGAGAGAGCAGGGAGAGAGCAGAGAGAGGAGAGAGAGAGCAGGGAGAGAGAGCAGAGATATGAGAGAGAGCAAGGAGAGAGCAGAGAGAGGAGAGAGAGAGCAGAGATAGGAGAGAGAGTAAGGAGAGAGAGCTAAGAGAGTAGAGAGAGAGAGTGCAGGGTGAGAGAGCAGAGAGAAAGGAAAGAGAGCAGAAAGCGCAGAGAGCAGAAAGCGCAGAGAGTGGTGAAAGGGCTGAGAGAGAGCAGAGAGAATGAGCAGGGAGAGAGGAGAAAGTGCAGAGAGAAAGAGAGCAGAGAGAGGCGAGAGAAAGCAGAGAGAGATGAGAAAGCACAGAGAGAGAGAGAGCAGAGAGAGAGGAGAGAGGGAGCAGGGAGAGAGATCAGAGAGAGGAGAGAGATCAGAGAGAGGAGAGAGAGCAGAGAGAGAAAGAAGAGAGAGAGAGCAGAGAGGGAGCAGAGAGAGAGATCAGAGAGAGTAGAGATTAGAGAGAGGGCAGGACGGTAGAGCAGAGAAAGAGGAGAGAGAGCAGAGAGATGGCAGAGAGAGTGCGCAGAGTGAGAGAGCAGAGAGACAGGGATATCAGACAGAAAGAGAGCAGAGAGAAACCAAAAAGAGACCAGAGTGTCCTTAGATAGAGCAGAGAGACAAGGATACCAGACAGAAAGAGAGCAGAGAGAGAGACTGAGATCATGCACATATTCATAGCGGAGATTATATTTATTTTACTGCGTTGCAAATGCACTGATGAACATTTACAGATTTGTCAGTTTGTACCGAGTCAATAAAGCAACTGTCACTGACGCGAAAAGAGGAAGTTTCACACATTTATCATTGAATCTGCTTCATAAACTAATGCGACACATTCTAAGTGTGATTCTAACACAGATATAAATCATGTTGTTTACTTATATTGGTTTAAAATGGAAAAATGTGCACGTTCTACGCAAAAGTAAGCTTGCATATTACAACATCCCAAACACCGCAGCGCATACTTAACACAGTGTATAAACGTGTTCACACTCACCGTCCATTGTGACACAGGCGGACACAGGCGTTAATATTGTGTCGTTGTAGTTTGAGCTGTCTGTGTGAGGAATCGACGCGTGAGTGATTGAAAAAAGGAAGATATAAAGTGATATTTTGCAGAGAAAAAAGTTGTGTGGGAATTCCCCCCCTCGACCCGCCCACAAGGACCGAGCGGACCAATCACAGAGCAGGATTTTACACACTCGAGCTGCCAATCATTTTAATACGCCAGGTAAGATTCAGACCAGGTTTATGTTCAATCAATCAATCAAAGTTTATTTGTAGAGCGCCTTTCATACACATGGCAACACAAAGCGCTTCACAGTCCACATCACAAATCATCACATAAAACAAACACCAGAATCACAATTAAAACATTAAAATCACACAAAAGATTAAAACACAATTAAAACATTAAAATCACACAAAAGAATAAAACCATTAAAACTTTCAAAATTACACAAGAAATTTAAAAAAATAAATAAATGACAGCAGTGCATTAAAAATGGAGATAAAATCCTTCAGTTGTATGCACAGGCAAACAGAACAGTCTTTAACCTGGATTTGAACATTGACAGAGTAGACGCCTCCCTCACATTTTCAGGGAGATTGTTCCAGATCTTAGCTGCATGGATCTGAAACGCAGCCTCCCCATGTTTGGTTCTCACTCTGGGCACCAGCAGGAGGCCAGTCCCTGTGCTCCTCAGAGTCCGGGCTGGTTCATATGACACCAACATGTCACTAATGTATTCTGGTGCAAGGCCATGGAGAGACTTGTACACAAGCAGAGCCGTTTTAAAATCTATTCTTTGAGCCACAGGAAGCCAGTGCAGAGACCTGAGGACCGGACTAATATGGTCATACTTCCTGGTTCCTGTCAGGACTCTAGCTGCTGCATTTTGGATGTACTGCAGCTGCTTACAGGTCTGTTTGGACAGACCTGTAAGCAGGCCATTGCAGTAGTCTAGCCTGCTGGAGACAAATGCATGGACAAGAATCTCCAAGTCTGCCCTGGACACTATATTTCTAACTTTGGCAGTGTTCTTCAGATGGTAAAAAGCTGTTGATGTTATTGATTTTATGTGGCTATTGAATTATAGGTGTGCAGGAGGTGGATGTGGATATGACGTGGTGGATTTGGCAAGTTTTACAAATGTATAAATATCGCAAATAGACCTATGATATTAATGTAGAAAAGTTATATCAATGTTACAATTATTTACTAATGCGTGATAAACAACTGTGTGTGAGTTTACAGGACAGCGCATTTAACATGGAGGGTTATACTGTGTCAACCTGTGGTGTTTTAGAGACATCTGGTGGTGAAACTGAGGATTGCAGCCTGGATAAACTAAAAGGAAAATGTTAATAAAATACACACACAATATTCTGTCCTCGTTCAATTAAAAGAGACCAGAGTCAGATGAACCATATAGAGCAGTGGTTGTTGGCGGTACCGAACCCCACTAGTTTCATATGCGCATTCACCGGACCCCTATTTTGGTAAAAAATAAAATGTTTTATTTTTTTTTCTTTCAAATCAATTCCTAACACATGAAGCCCCAGAGCTCTCTGAGGCTTCCGTTCCTAGATCACGGCTTTTTATTAAAGTTTTTCAGAAGTTGACAGTTTCAGTGGGCTTGTTTGACACTAGCTCTGCCGAACCCCTACCGGCTCACCGAACCCAGGTTAAGAACCACTGTTATATACAAGTGGCATTTATGTGGATTATTCCAGGGATTACATATTGTACATTACAATCTGATTTTTGACACTTCCCATACTTACCAGGACAGACGTCACAGCTGCCCTCCCCCACAATGTGAAACTATCGCTCTTTGGATCGTTGTGACGTCACAAGAACACAACCCAGTGAAAGGTTATATAGTACGGAAGCTTGTTAGGTTCACTTGTGTGCTTTTTCCCCGCTGGTAACATGATAAATATGTTATTTCATGATACCAATTTATCATGTTATTTCATGATACACAACTATCATGTTATTTCATGATAGTTGTGTATCATGAAATAACATAGTTGTGTATCATGAAATAACATATTTATCATGTCATTTCATGAAAGTATCATGAAATAACATACCAGCGGAAAAAAAACACACTCACAAGTGAACCTAACAAAGCACTCTCGCCTCTCAGCAAGAAGGTCCTGGGTTCGAATCCGGCCGGACCAGGGCCTTTCTGGTGGTGTTTGCATGTTCTCCGTGTCTGCGTAGGTTTCCTCCGGGATACTCCGGTTTTCCCCTACCACTAAAAATATGTACAATAAGGTCGGCATGCGCCTTCCTGTTCGGCGACCCCGCTCCCATTCTGTGTGGAGTGAGAGATAAATGCCCAAAAAAAAATAACAATAGTACATTTAAATAAATGTTAATAATATCATTCTAATCATCTTTCATCTTCTTCTAAAAATTGTTTATTGGGCCACAGGCCTTAGTTTGACATTGCCGCCTTAAGACGTTTATATAGGTGTTGTAAATGTATGCACACCAAACTGAGCACCTAGCCAACAGTTGTGGTCTGACCAAGCAAAACATCAATACTGAATCATTAGCCCTTGCAACAAAGAAGAACCTTTATTTCTAAGTGTTGGTGTAATCAAGTGAACAAAGCTGTTACTATTTCTCACTTTGAGGTGTTAAAGTCTCTATGGGCTAGGGCATCAAAAAGGACATCCGTTATTTCTCTCCCCAATGATTCATGTTCATCAAAGGAGGAAATTAAAAGTGGTTCCTGGACAACCTGGTTATTAAGGATTTACGGTGGACTAACTGAAAGACATTGTAGGGATAAAATTAGCCCTGTCACACTAGATTATAGATAATGTGTTACACATATGGTATATATGTGTTAGACTGGCCCGCTGTGTGTCTATGGCTATCTTCTTTTAATTAGCATCGCTTACTAGCAACAAGAACTCCAGTCCTTCAAGACAAGATGTGTTTGATTCAAATTTCATAAAAATTCAAATGTTTATAATGGAGTGATAAGAGGATTTTACAGCAACATGGAGTTGCACAGAAGCTGGGAATCAGTACAAGGTCTCTCTCTCTCTCTCTCTCTCTCAAATCAGAGCTTCTAACAAAAAAAAACAAGTTGGTCAAAATGGGCAGCTGACCAATGTCCATAAATGTTGTTGGAATTCATTATGCACATATTAAATGGGTTGATGGCAATTGAAAAAAAATTCAATATAAAGGTAAAAATGCGGAACACATCTCTCCATTGTCTTCTTAACCAGAATCTCAGCGTTGTCGGTATGTGAACGTCCCATGCATATGTATATCTCCATGTTGTTTTGCTTCTCAAATATGTTATTTTTGAATCATTTTGCCCATGGAATTTTGTTTGGTTCTTCGCCGAGCCCGTGTTGATTTAGGAACGATAATGAGATTTTTGTTTCTAGGACACAGTGGAAAATGAGCTTTAAACTCTCGGACAGGTTCTAGAAGCCGTGTTTTTTAACAACCTCGATGATAGACAGGGAAGAAGAGAAACAAAGAAGATTGAAGGTTATTTGAGTGCTGAAAAAAACAAAACCAGTCACAATTGGAGAGGTTGTTATTGTCTTTTTTCTAGTGTTTAAAAAAAGCTTTAATCACACTTTTCGTACGCCGTTTTCTTCCTGCATTTGTGAGCCCTTATTTTCATAATTTTCACGTAGCTAGAATAGTCATGTTACCACAATGTCTAGGACTACTACTAATTTGAATGAGCAGTAAATGTAGAAGTGATGAAGCAGGTAGCCACTGTCCAAGAGTAATTTATTGTATTTTTGCTTCTTCTCCAATTTTTCCGTCAAAGGCTCCCATCTAACAACATCACACTTAAGATTCAACAGACCATTTATCGCCTAAAGCACCTTCCATGGCATGTGCAGTGATCAGAGCAGCCATCATTGTCGAAGCCAAGGCTGGACAGGTTAGTAAAAAAATTTTTAAGGTTTTAAAAAAAAAAAAAAAAAAAAAAATTTTTTCTTCAAGATTACTATTGTTCCAGTTTACAGGGGTGAGCACACAAAAGCTCTCGCTCTGTTTAACACCGCTGAAGCGAGATAAAAGGGGACACTGCATTTTGAAGGGAATTTTGATTCACGTGTTATGTGTGTCATGGCAAACAAGGACTTGAACACCATAGCTGCCAATGACCAGAGGGAAAGTGTTTGAGAGAGAGGTGTCATTAAACACCAGTACTCTTGATGTAAAAGGGATCTTGGAAATGTTTAGTCCTTTGGAAGTTGTATCTTGAATATAGGGCAGAGATCACCTGGGAGTTTCTCTGCCATCCAATGTCGGTTATTAACACTTGAGTCTTAGAAAGATCGCCATCTTCGTTGACATTCGTTCGGTTCAGCTCAGGGACAGTTTATTGAGTTCAGAGTGACACATATTTTGAGAGAAAATTTAAGTGTTATAAAGACTCAAAAGGAGTAGGCAGAAGGAAAAGTATGCGATTAATGCTGCCCCTTCATGTGGTATATCAAATAAAGTCAAAGTAAGCATTAATACCATTTCCAAAAGTACGGAGTACCATTGCGTTCACATTTATACACATTTTTGTGATAAAAACCTTGAGCTTATATAGACAGATGAATAAACTGAGAAGACTTAGAACATGTTTTGAGGTTTAAGGTAAGTGAAGGTAAGTAAATTAAATTGCAAACGATTAAAATTACTGTCGTAACTTATTTCTCATTTTCTGCCTCTGCTTGAGCAAATGTGCCAGTGGTTAGTTTATAAATACCCCAACACCCCATAGCTCAATTCTATCACTCTGACGAGAACTAGGATTTTCAAAATTTATTACATCCATTCCATCCATTTTCTTCCCCTTAATCCATTTCTGGGTCGGGGGGGTGGCAGTCAGAGCTGCACCCAGTCACGCGCACCAGCCCCTCACTGATCCTCCTTGCAGGGGCGAGTCCACAGGAGCTGAGATTTTTCTGTGGGGCATTCAGGAAAAGTGCGGTTTAGTAGACACAACGACCG